ATGTCACTGATGAAAGTGCATCAGATCGAGATAATATAACTGTTCAAGTTGGCAACTTGATAGTACAAACATTATGAGTTGCTTAGCCTCTCTCTTGACCTCGCATGTGTGCACAGTGGATTACATATAATTTTATTCTTCTAAAAATATTCACATGTCATGCGATTCTAGTACATATAACACCATGCTCATTTGCTTTTTCCTAGGTGAGACAACATACCTGTGCTTGCTAACAAGCCCACTGTGTGCCCACAAAGAAGGAAAAGTTTCATTCACAACATAGTCATCATAGGACCATGATTGAATCCTATTCGTTATACAAATATATATAGGACATTCATTTCCACAAATTAACCATGCCATTGCCATTACCATGCACACCGACAAACATTTTTCATGGAAAGTTATGATTACTTTCTCCACCTTTACGCCTAATTAAGCCGTAATAATGAAAGCATTTGAAATATTCTTAATTAGCAACAATTTGTTTAGCATGTTGGGGAGATACAATTTGTAGCAAATGAGGTGTGATTTCATAATTTAATAATAAGATTATAAAAGCTATAATTAGCATATATTATATGATGGATTCAGCGAGCATATGCTAAAGTGAAGAATCAGCAATTTGTTTGCTCCAATTTCTTATAAACACCTTAAAGTGCACATGGTGCTCCATGGCATATTTTTTTGAAGAGAACATGGATATTGACATTGCATTGTACTCCTTGTTCTCTCTGTGTTCCACCGGTTGAAACAATAATTATCTTTCTTTTTTTTTCATAACTGTCACTCATCATAGCATCTTAAAATATGATTGCTAAAAGTCAAAAACTCCATTGCGGTACAGTTAAAGGCAATAAAGAAAAGTGAGTCAAAATAATTGAATGGTATGGTGTCATTCAAGAAAACTGTAAATGGCACCTACTGTGAACGCTTAGTGCTATCCAATTTTGATGAAGCAAAAAGGAGCTAGCAAGTACATGACAACTTGATCTGACATCTCTGGTTTGGGCCCCTAAAATTAGGAATGCCCCAATGGGCTTTAAAAACGACCCGCTACAAACAAGTCAATAAATCATATATTTATCTAAAAAAAATTAAAAATTGACAGGATTTTATTTAAGAATAGTATGATTGCAATTATGTGATTTGTCCTAGTGAATCCACATCAAACATATGAATCCATAACTTTTTGTTTATGTTTTACTTTACCTGTTACAAAAATGAAATTGACTCAGCAAATTGAATACTAGACCAATAACAGTAGAATGAGCTGTGATGAAAAGCTGTAAATATTTTTCAAGAAAGAGAGAAACAAGAGAGCTGCAAAGAGACATAAATCTAAAACCAAAATTGACATATAAGGTCAATAGTGATAGTCTGAGACATTCACACCAAACTATTCTCTATTTTTCAATGTGTCATGCTCTAAAATTCTGCAAATTAAAAAAAATGCTGCAAATTAAAAATTAGCATCAGTTTCAAAACAATTGCAAACAAACATTTATCATTTATTTGTTAATGAATATATCAAAATAATTATTTATAACGTTAAAAAAAAAATTATACTTCCACATTAAAATCTAATTTAGTAATTATACACCCCCAAAACAATTATACGTGAAAACATCTAAACAACATTCTTTACCAAAATAACTTTTTTTGACCTATTATCCAAACAAAATTTATATGATTTCAAATTTAATTTTTAACAAAAAATAATTTTATAAAATCATGTTGAGTCAATTTAGTTGCAGATGCCATGAGAATAATGTTACTTGGAAAGTAGTTTTCTGTTTTTAACTTTGGTTTTCCTTTCATCTGACAAAAAGAAAACGCATGTTCAAACACATATTAAATATTAAAAAAATCACATCCAGAAAATTGAACAAATAGATCGATGCAGAGTGCAATATTAATATCGTTTACAGAGTAACCTATTTAAGGATTGTTCACGAACGTTAGTACAAACCAATTCATGTATTATTTCACAGTTGATATTATTAAAATAATTAAAAAAAAAGGGATCTGCACAAAACGCAGAAACAGCTAGTTGTTTTCCTTTCCATGTGACGTTTTGCTGAAGTTCCATAAATTTTAGAACTTGTCTTTTTATTTTTGTAGACAAAACTGTATACAAGGCATTACTCTACGATTAAAAAAGCAAAAGGAAAGTATAAAAACTGAAATAAGGCAATATTTTAACCAAAAAAAATGTTAGGCATTAAATTTATCTTTGTTAATATATATATATATAATTTTTGTTTAATAAAAATTAAACTCTTAACATATTGCATAGTTACATTAATAATATGATGTATTATACTAATAGTAGAATATACTAATAACATGTATTGTTTTTTTATATCAACAAAATTACTTATCAATTTAATGTGTCATTAATGTAATTAAATTTATAATGTATGTTAACAATTTAATTTTATTAAATAAAATTTATATTACTTTATGAAGACGAAGCTAACACCTAATTATTATATATGATTGTTTTAATTGAAATTTGCTCAATGACAGCTTTATCCATATTTTTTTTTGGGGGGGGGGGGGTTTAATAATAGGTTTGTTAATCCTAAGAAAGCTTGTCCACTATGGGAATTTTATTTTATTTTTTTCATTTTTGATCTGGCCACTACAGGAAGTTCACTTTCCGGGTTTTCAATGGATTCAAAATTCAAATACATAATAACATGTACTCTATCTTTATTGTCTTTATTGTGCTAGACAGCTGCCAAAACATACCAAGGTACTAATTGGTGGCATCAGACAAAATATCATGTACTATGTACTCAACAAAGAGCTGTTATGATATGCCATCACTTTGGGGTTTTTCTTTTTTTTTCCTTTGGGCCATCCAATAGAGTCTATCTAACATGTAGTTTTTTTTATAGTTTTGGGCCACAGTTTCACTTGAATTTAACATCCCCGAAGTTTAGACTAAACTTGAAAATTTTGGCCCATATATATCGTTCGTATGTTGGAGACGTTTCATCCCTCTTCACAAAAAAAAAAAGAAAAAGAAAAAAGAGAGAGATAGAGAGAGAGGAGATTCATCTCTTCAATATGGACAAAAGAAAATATCCCTTCCATGCGAATTTTTTTAATGAATTCTATCTATTTTTAAAATAATTCGTTTTATTTTATGCATTAAATGACAGAATTAAGGTGGAACACAATAGGACTGAAGTACTGAATCACTACATCACGTACCAGTTAGTGTTGATGTTTGTGTTGGGTTGTTTCTTAAGTTTATTAATTAAAGTCTGTATATAGATTTTTTAGCCCTATTGTTAACAGTTTTAATCGCTGTATGGGTCTTCAATTTTTATGTGTGTTGAATGAAACAGTTGATGTGTATTTATTTTGGAGATTTTGTCTTTATATGTAACACAACTTCCTTGTATAGATGATTCTAGATAATACGACTTATAAAACCAAGCAATAGCGATTTGGGTTGTGTCATGGTTCTATCTTAATTTTCTTTTGTCAGTAAGAGGGTGATATGTTAAGTGCATGGAATGTGTATTTTTCATTTGAAGTCATTGAACAATATGTTTGTGATGCTAAACTCGTGGTAATGAACCATATTATGGACATTTTAGCAATGGATTATACACTTCGTTTTATATGGCAACTATAAAAAAGTGTAGGATTACAAGTGCTAGAATCATTATGCAAATTACGGGAAGCCAAGGATTCACGTATTCAAATATCTATCAATCGCCAAAAATAATTCAAGATCGATTCATTTTAAAAACATAGAATATTTAGTGCTGAAGAAGGAATTGTTGAACCAAAACTCGAAGCAAGTTGTGAATCCATAATTGATGTAGAACTAGAAACCACAGGTTTCAACATGGAGATCTTGTATTATTGAAATTGCAATTCGGGATCTTCGAGGAGGCAATATTAATAGTGTTTCAAAACCCTGAATTGGTACTTTCAAATTCTGAAGTTCATAATATATATAACTACTGAGACGGTGAAGCAACCAGGTTTGTGTGCTTTCACTTCCAATTATAGGTTAATATTCATGCTTTGTTTGGCTTATATAATTTGCACCCTTTGTCATGTATTTCTAGTTTTTAAAAAGAGAAAACTCTATTAAAAATTACAAACAAACATGCTCTAAATAATTGCTTGTTGATCAGTTTTGCGTGAGAAAATGAGAAATTTAGAATGAAAATAACTTTACGATATATTTGTTATATATAACAAAAAATAATTCTGATATATTTATTTTATTCACGTAGCTTTGATTCCCGATTCTTGATCAAAAAATTTGCCCGAAACTCATATCATGTTCCTTCACAGGCTATTTGAAAGGTATATGGATTTCACTTATTCCTTATCAAAAAATAATGATTATTTCATATACAGGCTTAAGGGGCTCTAGGAAACTATCAGTAGCACTTGCTGCACATTATGAAATTCCAGTAGTAGTTTCATGTCACAGGGCTATGCCAGATTTGAACTTGTGATCAGCAATATTTTGGAGGGTGATACAAGATTTGAATCTTTCAGCAAGTGACCTTTTTGAAAGATCTTCCGGGGTCTCCCGAGATAATCAAGAATTGAAGGCTTGAAGCTAACTCAAGTCTTGTTTCATTGCAACTTACATGTGTAGTGTTATTGTTTACTTTTATCACTTATCGATCACTATCGTTTGATTAATTGATTTCTACTTTATTGAAAGGCATCTCACCCATAAAAATATTTCATGATTTGCTGTGTAGCAAAAGAGTTTTCTTACTACAGAAGGAATAAGGAGAACGACAATGCTCTCGTTGAGAGTCGAACTCAAGACCTCCCGCTTACTAAACGGGTGCTCTAACCAACTGAGCTACGAGAGCTGCTTGACTTTCAGAGCAAATATATATATAAGTAGGTAAACTGGTTCCCGCGTTGCAATAGTTAAGCATTTTCTGGATTGGAATTTGTCTTCTTAGTCATCACTTCCATAGTATAAATAACATAACACGACAACTTACTCTCTCTTCCCCCTGCCACAAACTCTCTCTCTCTCTCTCTCTCTCTCTCTCTCCCTCTTCGGTGTCGCTCCTCCCACATACATTTCAATCTTAGGGTTCCATGGACTCCGATTCCTGGATTTCCACTCGTCTTTCTACTTCTTCACGCCGCTATCATTCTCGATCTGGTTTATTTATTTCTCTGCTTTTGATTTCGTTTTCTCTATCGGATTCAGATTGTTGTATAACCAATTCGTGTTGTTGTAGATCTGTATGTGGAGGATAGCGAAGGAGGCGATGATTTCAGGGCGGAGTTTCTCTGCCCTTTCTGTGCCGAGGATTACGACGTCGTTTCCCTCTGTTGCCACATTGACGACCACCATCCTCTCCAAGCCAAAAACGGGGTCCGCTTTCCTCTTTTTCTTTTCAATTGTTACCGTGTACCTACGCAAACTTATTAAATAATTCCAATTAGTAATCATAGGGAAAAATTATTAATTTAATCGGTTGTGTATTATTTATTATTGTTGCTCTCGATTCCTCTAAGTGGTTCACTGAGGATGAGTGAATGAGTCTGCGTGGTACTTGAACAAGTTATGTTTCTCTGCTGGATAATAAAATTGTGTTCTTTGTGAGGCATGGTGTTTTTAGTTAGTGTCTATTTTGAGAGAGTATTTATTTGTCTGAAGTTTTCTTGCTTTTGTTTTGGCTGTTTGTCTACTGACTCTGATTGATGCTTGGATTGCTTGTATTTTCAGGTTTGTCCCGTTTGCGGGAAAAAGGTGGGAACAGACCTTGTCGCACATATTACCACGCAACATGGGAACTTTTTGAGGATATCCTTTTTGCGGGTTGATTTATTTGATGTTCAATTCGCCTCTTTTAATTAGGTCTTTTCTTATTTTCCGTGCAGCAGCCAGATTTCTAGTTACACGTGTGTGTGTGTTGGGGTGGGGGGGGGGGGGGTCAGTTAAAGGTTTCATCCTACTCTAGTTATATGATAATTTTCACTGGTTAGGTAACATTACCGTTAAGAACGGTTTTAAACAATTAAAAAAGGTGGAATATTTTTATAGGAAAAAAGTATTTACCATCTGAGAAATGCAAAGCAGCATAAGTTCAGCAATTTTTATTTTCAATATTAATCTAATTTTAATTGTTTAAAATCAACCATATGACCACAAAGTGTGTGGATCAACTAGTACAAGTTTGTTCTAGCTTAGTCAGAGGAGAACTTTACCATTTATTTCTGCCCTACCCAATGAGGTTGCCTCATGTGGAAGACACCTGTAGTCTAAACAAAAAAGTAAATAAATCAACCATGTGAGCAAATGTTAACAAAACCATAATTTTAAACAGGCATTTAAATTTTTTGATGCTCATGCAGTTTGAAAACTTGTGCGCATATCAAGTGAAGAGAGATACTGTAATTTGTTAGAAAATTAAATTTCTATATACACAACACTCTGAAATAGTGAAACATAATGCCAAACATTTGTAGATACCCATTCATCATTATGTGGAATATTTGAAGAATGATAGGAGTTACTTGAAGTGAGGAATATTTTAAGTGCGGAATAGAGGTTACTTGCCTCGCGAGTATGCTTTGTCTGAACAATTTAAAATTTTCCAATGTGGCTAATAATTTTGTGTAGTTATTCTAGTGATTTCAGAATTGTTAAATAGTAGTATTTTGAGCTGTCTCTGGTGTGTCTTTTTCAATGTATGCAACACAAATCGTTGCCTCATATAATAGCTTCATTTCAAGTATATTCTTTTGGCCAAATGTTATAGATTGCTTTGAGAGTTCAAAGGTTTTTCATAACTAGAAATTACGTGCAGCGTAGAAGGAGAGTCAGGAAAGGAGGCCCTAGTTCAACATTTTCTATATTGAGAAAAGAGTTACGAGAAGGAGCCTTGCAGTCCCTACTCGGAGGTTCTTCGTACATAGCTTCTTCCAATTCTGAGCCTGATCCTTTGTTGTCTTCATTTATGTTTAACCCAGTTGTGGCTGATGAAATTGTACCTCGTTCTTCCATTGAAGATGCCATCGTGAAAGAAAGCTCAGAAGAATATTTCGTGGAAAGGTAAGAATGTTGATATTGCTGTTTGATAAAGCTTTACATTGCTTGAGAAGTGAAGGGGTTTTATTTTTGAAGGAAATTTAAGTATTGGATGCATGTGCAGGTTGCTATAACTGTTGTTCTTATAATCTGTGTGGTTAAATTTGTCATTTTGTTTTGCAAAAGTAGCTGATCATCCGTTGAGTTTAGTAAGGAGTGATGCCTTGGTTTCAAATGACTTGAACAGTTATACATGATTTTAGTACCGTGTCATACTGCTCCAAAACCCTTCCTTTCTTTTCGTCGTTCACAATTTTTCATTAACATCTGATCTGACAATATTGTGTGGTTTCAGAAAACCTCAACAGATACAGCTGTCGGAAGAGGATCAAGTAGAGAAGTCTCGGAGGTTTGATTTCGTGCAAGGGCTATTGATGTCCACCATTCTTGATGATAAATTATGACCCAATTTTTAGCTCGTATGCCATTACTGTGTTAGGAGCAGGAGCTGTAATATAAAGCACGAGAGAGAGAGAGTTTATTCATAATGATACGAAGTGGCAGTTGGTATCGGATAAATATGTAGTGTATCTATAGCTATGTTCATAAAATGCAACCTTTTTTATCCTGTTTGTGTTCTATGCTAGTTCCGAATAACTAATGGAAATAAAATTTGTTCAACGAGCACGGGACCAATTGCACAGTACAATCTAGAGCAATTTTTCGTTTTTCAGATTTGTCTTTAAGAATTTGCTCATGAAAAATGGTAAGGGACACTAGAGTGTCAATTTGAGCTAATCTTCCACAATAACTGTATATTTATTGTGGTAAGCTTGACGTGAAGTGGTGTTAATAGGACTAAGTTTAACGGGTAAGAAAGTTATTAAATATTTTAAAAGTACATAAACAAAATGTATTTATATTAAACGGTGGAGTCCGGGACCAAGCACAAGTTGGTTATACTTATTTACTTCGTTTCAAAATGTCATTGTTTACGTTGCATTAACGTAAGAAAGTTATTAAATATGTTTGAATACAGAAAACTATAAATGTATTTTACAAAAATCTCTGCTTTGATATAATATTAAAAATATTTTTTTTACTAATATATTTTTGCATTTTAATTAATATATGTAAAGGCAAGGATAGAAAATATAAGGCTTTTTTAATCTACCGAAAAGACAATTTTAAACAAGTTAGTGCGTTTTTAAATTAAATTACTTTAAAGCCGTTTTTTTTTTTTCACAATTTATAGAGAAAGATTTTTAAAGAGAATAAATGCTTTTAATATTACGCAATTCCTACATATGTAGGTAGGGAAGGATGACTTATGTTCACAAGTTTTTACTTTGTTGAAGTTTCATTAATGATTCAAGTTTTCAAAATATATGAAACCTCTACAAAAGTAGTTTTAAAAAGAAATATTAATATATTTAAACTCAATTGTTACAATTACTCGGCCTTTAGTTATCAATGTCCTTGAGCTTTAAGAACACTCAAAGAAGATTTGCATCGACCTCACTTCAAGGAGACAAGTCAGATGCAAGACTCTCTCTTGCTTCACTCAACCAATTCACTCAATCAATCCCTTGGAGCTAAATTTACAATGAATATATTTCTGAAATTATATTTTTAACATTTTAGTTTCTTCATATCCAGTTGTTTCCTTCATTCTATTCATTATTTCTCTTCAGGAAAGAAGCAGAAACTGTTGGTTAGAGGCCTTGCATCCTCTACAGCAGCTTATAATACGAATCAGCATCAACAATTTTTAATACCACCATTCTTCCATGAATCCCTCCTTCACTAAAGTGATAACCCTGCCATTGCCGTTCTATTCTAAGAAAACAAGTGGTCCTGGTGGAACGATAGCAGAGGTTTACCACACTGGACAGGTATCGCATAAGCTGGGAGTTGGGAGTTGTGTTGCTTCAGCTTAAAGAAAGTCTTCATCTCCGATATGAATGAGGAGACATAAAGAAACTGTAATCGGGTTGGTTAACTTGCAACAGCCTAATCCAGTTGTCAGCAGCTCGCAGCAGAGAATTGGCTTTCTGACTTTCAGAAACTCCATCAGGATCCCAGACAGAAACTTTCAACTTATGAAAGGCAAGCCCAAAAACTGGTAAAGATAACTTGGATGACATGTCCCTACCTCTTGAACAATGACGATGAAACCCATCATTATTCGGACCTGATTCAAATAACAGTTATAATTAATACCCCTACACGTACAGCACATACACTCAACAAAGGCAGCAACACATACTTTCCAAAGCTGTTGACAGGGAATGGAAGGTCAGGAAGCAGGCGCTCAGGCTCTGTAGTGTGGGACCAGTAGGTATTCTATATATTGGATACCTTCATAATATATACAGGCACAAATCGTTTCAAATTAGTAATTATCCAACCCTAACAATCACATCAACCAAAAGAATGAGATGAAACTTACCAAGCCAATGAAAGCCAACTTGCAGGTGAAAGATCACAGCTCCGGTAGGTCTTCAACTCAGGAAATTGACGTGCAAGATCAGAAATCTGGAGGCAAGAAATATGAATCTATATTAGGATTGAAAAGTGACATAATCTCCGTGGGAAACCAAAGGATATCAGTCTTGCCTTATCCGCTAATGGCTCACGATTATAAGGTATTTCATGCTCAAAGTATTCGAATATAAGCTGACCAGGTGGGGTGGAGCTTTCAGTCTCATCACTTGATGAACCCATTAAAGATTTACTTCTTACTGAAACTCTTTCCAGACCATGATTGCTTGCATCTGACATGTCACGCTGGTTCCGACTGCCATGAACCACACTCTTTACCCCTCTTTCACAACAATAGCTACTGCTGCTATCACTGCTGGTCTCTCTAGCTGATTCAGAGTCACTCCCCTGACTAGGTCTCCTGTAATACGATGGAAACAAGAATGAAACCATTGATTAGACAAAAAATAAGCAGTTTGCAAAGTATTGTGATTCAGTCAAAGTGGTAAACTGATGTAAGGAAAAAGGGTAGGACATGGGTGCCTATCATTTGAAAAAAGAACAAAAAACTGATAACGGGAAAAACGATAAAGTAGTCTCATCATTCTGAATCCTAGCATATAAATGATTGTGGCTAGCATTATAAACTTATAGGTTAAACATGCATCCTGTTGAATGGCATTTTGAATATTCATATTCTGGCAATACTAAGGTTATGGGCAACATGATAAAATAGTGTCCGAGTGACATCTGATAACAGTATTATTAACGGAATATTTCATAGATCACTGAAGAATGTACAGTCATGCAAATATGCTAAATTCCACCAAAAAGACAAACACAGCAAACATGTGATAAACTAAATTACAAATAGGAGTAAAATAATATTACACACATTAACTTAGTAGCACAGGACAGCAGAGGCATGCTCCAGTACTAATAGTCACTTTATTGTGACACTCAACACGGGTTAGGATTACATGCCCTTGATCCACAAGTTTACTATTGTCTTATTCAGCTAACTCCAAATTTATGGACAAAATGACATGGACTTCTTGGCCAACATTGTAAATCAAGGAAGATATCCAATAGAGGGCAGTTAGAGCATGTTTGTATAGAACACTGACCTTAACCGCGGGGAAGGCTTTAATGGATCAATATAAAGCTGAATGGCAGACAAGGAGACATTGTAATACTGTGTGACACATTCATTTCCATTCAACAGCAAAGGCACACCAGCCCCATATGCACTCCATTCCTTGAAAAATTCCCGCAAGTCCCCAAGCACAAAGTACGGATGCAACTCTCCCTCCATGGTTTTCCATCTCCTCTTGCTTCTCTGTTCATTCCCACACACCAATAAGCCCAAAAACAAAGCCCTTTTCAAACCAACCTAAAAAACTAACACCACCTCAAAACAACTCTACCACTTTGATTGCATTAGTATTACCTCAATCCTTAAGTATATCCTAATCCATAAATTAAACATGAATTTTATTATAAATCCTAATTCTTTACTTCAAATTAAGAAAACTGAACTGCTCAAACTTCAAAGCAGAATAAAAATCCATAAACTCATATATCATTTGAAAATTGAAAGGCTTTAAATTAATTTACCACGGGAAAATATTGAGCGGGAACATGTGGTGTGGCGTGCTCCAAAAACCGACACAAATTGGAGACATCACATGTTGTTCCACTCGAAGAAACGGAACAATCGGAAGAGGTACCAGGTCCCTTCTCCGACAACTTTGACCCATGCTTCTTCTCCTGTTCATGCTCGTGCTTCTGTCTGTATTTCCGCAACAGTGGCGGGCTGTAGAAACGGTTCTCGCCGAGGCAACGATGGTTCCTCCTAATGTTCCCACCGGCGACGGCGGCGCCACCGGAGACCGACATTGACGACAAATGAGTTCGGGCGCTGACAGTTAGTTGGAACTAGGAAACAACGACGTTGGGATAATAGAGACCAAAAACAGAAAACAAAGGTATTTATTATTATTGTTTTTTGCTTTTCCCTTTATTTCTTAAAAAAGAGTGCGTGCGTCTGGATTCTGGAAGGGTCTAGAAATCACAAAGTACATATAAACCCGTTACGGGGTTAGGTTAGAGAGTGCAAGTGCAACACGTTTCTGTTATGTTGCATTGTTTTCACTTTTCAAGTGACTTAAGTAAACCAGAACAGAACTTGTCTCAAGTTTTCAGAACAGTGTTTTCTGGCTTCGATTATTTATGTTAAAAACCGAGTGTGAGTTTAAATTCACGTTAAAAACATGAAATTTAACATAAAATGTATAATTAATACCGTTAAAGTAAATGAAATTCAGAGAGAATTAAAACACATTAAGAGTAAAAAAATTATAATAAAGTATAAAAAAGGTATCCAATTTGAATAACCGAGCAAGGAACGGGGAAGGCAATGGAATATAATGCTTCGTGTTTTGGAGATTCAAGTTATGTTTTTTTTTTTTTTTGTTACTGAATGCTGTTGCTGATTTTGTTGGTGAAAAGTGAGAAAATATATTTCAGAAAATAAAAATATTTTAATGATTAAGGGAAAGTTTGTTTATTAAAATTTATTAATTTTATAAATATAATTTACTCTAATTTTAATTTGTTATAATTTAGAACATATTTGAGTTCGTATTTGAATAGATCTGAATTCAAGTTTTTAATAATTATAAAAAAAATAAATTTTATTATAATATTTTTAATTAATAAATAATTTTTATATATATTTGTAATATTTGTATAAAATTATTTGATAATTATAAATAATAAATACACACAAAAAAGTCCTTTATCCTGAATCAAACTGCCAAGCTCCAAGTTGCTTCTTCACAAGAAAAACAAAAAGCTTCAATGTCCACCCATAGTTGCCATTGAGACAAAAAGCAAATATGTATTGATCTTTCCTTTTTATTGTGATTCCATGATGATCTATATATATAAAGCAACTCTAAATCTGTTGTGAGTGACTTATTGGACCTATTTATTAAAATAATGTTTTCTAAAAATATTAAAATTAACCAGATGACCATCTAATAGTTTTTTTTTTATCAATATCAAAATGATTATCAAAGAATTCATCTTAGACATTATGACACTTTTTGATATAAAAAAAATGGTACTATTTCACGAGTTATTAATTACAAACTATTGAATTTTTTTTTTCAATTGATTAGGTATCACGTTCCAAATAAAAATGATTTCCTCAATTGCCTTAATTCAGCTAATTTTTTTCTAAAAAAATTTGACATGAAATCAAGAAATGGTCTTGCGGCCTCTTAATAAAAAAAATTTATTTTTTCAGACAAAATTAGATTCCTGTGTTATGTAATATAATCTATTAGAAACAATTACATCAATAAATAAATCTATACAATTTGTTGATGAATTTTTAAGTTATATTATTGACAAAAATTAATTACAAAAGTTCTCAAAATACCTTAATTATATTGGTAACTGTGACACAATCAAAATGATATTTTTTAATTTTAAACTGAATTTTTTTCTTTTTCATTTTAAGTTTGGATTGGAAGGTCAAATTTCAAATGTTTCTCTCTTTTTGGTGAAAAAGATTCCCAATTTTTAGGTTAGAAAGAAAATGAATAAATGTTCATTTTGATTCCTAAGAAATTAGATTCAATTTGGTTTGAATTCTTAAAATACATACACTACATGGATTAAGTTTGTCAATGCAGTGAGCGGGCTCCAAGTTACAAGGTGGGTCACCCGAAGAGGGCGAGTTAATCTTTCATGACCCAAGACAAGGTTGTTTTGGGCTTGTCAGCTTATAGAGGAAGTTATGTCCAAGATGATGATAATGATATGTGCCATTCAGGCCTTGTCAAAAAAATTGTACCATTTTGGGCTAGACCAAAAACCTTTGTAGGGCAAATGTTTTCTTTATTTACTTCAGACAATCAGTGTTACATGACCTGATAAAATATATAATTAGACTTTTAAAGTACTAATTTTAAATTCTTTATTACCTAATTTTATTTTTTTAACTAAAATATATTAATGATTTATTAAATAAATTTGACAAAATTAATGATATAATATTAAATTATGACATTTTCAGGACTTAAAAGCCAACTTATGTGATCTTAGCCTAATAAGGTCGCCAACTTTTTTTTGTTTTAATTTTATAGGTTGTCACATATTTTGGATTGAGATGTCAAATTCAACGCGATTTGGGCATAGCTCTCTTTTTTTTTAATTAAAGCCTAAAATCCAAGTAAATTTTATTAATTTTCTTTATTTAATAAATTTTTAATTAAAAATTATATAAAAGATAAATATTACTATTTTGAGAAAAAATGTGCAATTTTCTGGAGGTTTTGAAAAAATTTCATGACATTTCGTATACATTGCAGAGTGTGTGACAGAGAAAGAGAAATTAGAAACAGATTATTTCTATATCCAAAATATCATTAGTGTCAACAATGTCCCATGTATGTAATTTTCTCGTCATTGCAACCTGAATTTGGTCCAGCGTTCTAGAATGGCGTCTGTGAAGACTAGCTGCAACACTCCCCAATTTCCTCTTCCTTTTCTGCTTTCACTCAACACTTACAACTTTTGGAGTAATGTTATTTGTGTAGAAGAAATTAAGCTGCAACGTTCAATACAAGGAGTACACAGTTTTTGAATACATGTTCAGATTCTTTGAATGTTCAGTTCACAATCTTTGACTAGAGCATAAAATTCTTCTGGTTCACCTTAAAATCTACTCTGTTACTTTTTTCAAGAATAAAGCATCATCCAAAGATTATTAATTATCCCAGTAGTAATAAAAGTACTGGACCGGTCTCCACGAAATATTTTCCAGAAAAGTATGATCATTTTATATTCTGTTTTATTATTTATTTACAATATATAATTGCTTCCACTAATTTTCTCATTAATATTTTAATCATCCCTTTTAAGTCAATAAACTGAAATAGGAATACTATACACGTAATAATATTTTAAGTATCATAATGCGCACACACACACACACACTCTGTCTTCAAGATGAAATTTTTGTTCATACAACAATAATTTGTATTACATTTTTTTAATACGAGAAACTAATAACTTAATTAATTAAAAGGCTCACTCTCAAACAATCTCACTGACCATCTTTCAACTTTCTTGAGTATAAATTTAAAATAATATATTGTTAACAAGCATGATGCGTTGATTATATTTTGTATTACAATTTATAATAGAATATATTTTGTTACAAAATATTAAGTAGAAAAGTTTAATATCTCAACTCGGTGCTCAAATTAAACATTTTCTTTTCAAGATATGGATCCAGCAGGATTTGAACACGTGTGCCTATACGGGACAAACCGGCTCTCCCGGGCACGTACCACTCAGTACTTTTATTAATCAAAGAGTTTATTTATTATTAACTACTTAAAAATCAAAATACTACCATGAATCCGTTGATTAATTATAGTTAAATAGTGTGTGAACTGGCATAATATTTATATCATTAACTACTTAACTAATTCTTACATACTCCAATTTATTGAATTCCTAGACTCCAAAGTCCAAACTAGCTAACGACAGTCTGAAGTCTTGTGCAAAACCACGTGCAAAAGAGTATAATGTAAAATTTTATGCAACAAAACTGAATTTATACTCGCATAGGGATTCATTAGAAAGATATATAAAATTGAGAGTTCTGGAAGTTTGAATCAACTTTTATGTAAAATTATATAAAGATGGTGTTTCAATATCCACACAAGCAGACACTATAGGTTTTGATGTGATACGTGAGAAAAATATATATAAATAAATGTGATAATACATAAACATATGATATAGATGTTTAAAATAGTGATGCAAATAATATAAAGCTGATAAAAAAAATAATTATATATCCTCTAAAAATGAAATATTTCGTGTTATCCTAAATTAGTCTGAAAAGAAAACAAGGGTCCAACAACGAACCAGCTCGTATGAGTCAGCATTTTCACATTATCGTATAAGCAATGGGGATACTGGTTCAGCTGCTATAAATAGCAGCCTCAACTCTACTCATAAACCACACAAGGCAACCAATTAACCTCTTATTTTGACACAATCAATTTCATTCTCCTTGTGTTAGCTAAGGCATCATCATCATCATCATAATGGGCGTTGTTACTTTCCAAGACGAGGCCACCTCAGTTGTGCCACCAGCCAAGCTTTACAAAGCTTTGGTTAAAGATGCTGATACTCTCATCCCAAAGGCTGTTGAAGCCATCAAGAGTGTTGAAACCGTTGAAGGAAATGGTGGCCCCGGAACCATCAAGAAGCTCACTTTCGTTGAGGGTCAGTTAATATGTTACTTCAATATTATGCTTTCTCTCTCTCTCTCTCTCTCTCTCCATATATATATATATATATATACCACTAAAAGAAATTATATGCATACAAAGTAATTGTGAGGCTTATCCTTTTTAGTATAAACCTCATCTAACTGAGATAGAAATGTCATGATAGATGTTATAGGTATACGTTAATAGTATCATATATCATATTAACAATTGATATAGAGTATATATTAATACATCGTATTTTTAATATGATATATTATGTTGCTAATATAGATCTAAAATATATATACTAATTTTTTCAATATCTATTTAAGAATACAATAAAAAATTAATAAATAATACTTTCTCTGATTTTATTTATAAAAAATAATTATTATATTTTTTAGTCCAAACTATAAATTTTTTTTTTTTTTATAAATGTAATAATTTTAATTTTTTTATATTCCTTGTTTATTGTGAGATATGTGTTAAAAAACACTTATTCATTACTCATGCATATGAATATATAAATTTATGAGATGTAAATACTTTTTATTTATTTTGATAAATTAGTTATTTATTTATTATAAATAAGATTAGACGAAATAATTTTTATAAAAAAATGTAGCATTTAATATTAAACATCGAATCATGTGATGTCATATGACTTTTAATACAAAAATTATTATATATAGATTTTTATTGTGCTTGCTTAGACACGTTAAAAAAACTATAATTATACTAAACACAATTTATACTAACGATGGGAAAAAAATCAATAGTCTAACCAGTAGTTTATATTGTAGAGTGCATGTATACTCTATGGTATTGTTATAAATTCTGATGAAATAATTGATGAAGAAAACAAAAAATAATGGTGATGATGTTTGTGATTGTGAAACCAATCAATGATGTGCAGACGGGCAAACGAAGTACGTGCTGCACAAAATTGAAGCAATTGATGAAGCAAATTTGGGATACAACTACAGCATCATTGGAGGTGTGGGGTTGCCAGAAACAGTGGAGAAGATCTCATTCGAGGCCAAGTTGGTTGCAGGCTCCAATGGAGGATCAATTGCAAAAATCACTGTAAAGTACCAAACCAAAGGCGATACCAAACCCAGTGAAGAGGAGCTCAAGAGTGGCAAAGCCAAGGGTGATGCTCTTTTCAAGGCCCTTGAGGGTTATGTTTTGGCCAATCCTGGTTACAACTAAATAAATCAATCCTATAACTAAGTGCTTGCTTATACATGGTGTTCTTGCTTTTTATCCAGTGTGTGCTTCATTTGGCTCCCAATGTAATTCTCTCTCTTTTTTTCCCCTTTGGCGTGGAATTGTGAGATTCAATGTCATGTGTATCTCACTTCAATAAATTTCAATGACAGAAAATATACTTCCCGTTCTTAAAATGGTTCATTTTAAGTTTTAAATAAATGGTAAAAATCATAAATTTATTTAACTGTGTTGTCTTCTCATTCTATTAATATTATCTCATTTTACTTTAAATAAATATTAAAAGAAAAGGATAAGGTAAAAAATAGTGAATATTTTCTCCAAGTTTGTTGTTTATACTTACGGATATAGTGTTGATCCAAAAACTATTCATCTGAATACAACTGCAAATGGACAAGAAAAGTAAGATGTTGACAATAATGTAGACCCACTTAAGAGGAGTAATATCCGATGTTTCAAAATAATGGTAACATTGAAGTGCAGGAAATGGAAAATTAAAATAATTAGTGCTGGTAAATATGATAAATATAATTTTAATTTTGGCTTAAACATGCTTTTTTTCCCCTCATATTTTAGAAAAATTTTAGTTTTAATTCTTTTATATAATTTTTTTTGTTTTGCTCTTTATTTTTATAAAAAATTTTGTTTTTGTCTCCAATAATAATCTTGTCGATTTAAATATTGTCACATGATAATTTTTGGTTTAATTACATTAGAGACTAAAAACAAAAGCTTATAAAAAATAAAAATTAAAAAAATTCATTTGAAGGGAATAAAACTAAAATTTTACTAAAATGTGAGGATCATATTAATTTTTATTTTTGAAGAATTTAAAATTTTTTTATCATCATATTATATATTACATTACTTAATACCTTAAAATAGTTGTTAATGTAACCTTCCTAAATTTATGTCACGGTATTAAGAAGCGAAAATAAATTTTTTTAAAAATTATAAAATTTATAAAATTAAAATTAATAAGAACTTTTAAAAATAAAATAAAATATTATCATATTTTAAAAATAAAAAAATATATTTAAGTATAATATGTTTAATCCACGGCAAGATAACAGACGAATAGAAATCCTTCCGAAGTAAAGTCAGGTACAGGGAGGATGCAGGTGGGGCATGGGCCCAATTGTACCCTATTTTGTCAATAGGGACAACATTTAAAGACCCGAAGGGAAAACAGATCAAGGGGCCAATTACATTTTTTGGTGTGTGAAGGGGCCCAATTATATATATTTTTGTGTGTGAAGGGGCCCAATTATCTTGAAATAGTGCATAGAGTCAGATAATTGGGTTAGAAAGCCCTGCTGTTGTGTAGGATTAATCAATTAGTAGGAACTAAGAGTACCATTAATGGTTCTACCTTGCATAAAAAATTTATGCTCTCTTTCTAACTTTTACTTGTAAATAAAAGTTAAAGATAAATTAGAGACACAACTTTTCTTTTTTACCAAGAAAACCAATTACTTGTACAAGGAACGGTTCTTCTACTTGGAATAAACTTTTTGTAAGAAACTGCATAAGAACCAACGTTAAAGGACATTCATGACAGGGTAGAATTAATTAAATCAGTTTCCGTATCCGACTATTCAAATATTTATATCGTATGTGAACTTGTATATAACTATATCTATTTTTTATTCTATTTTTATCTTTTCATATACATAAATTTTATAAATATTTCCCAAAATTAAAGGAAACAAAAGATATTGTACTCTTCTTCTTTAAGCTCTCCACCGCTCCATTATCTAAAGATATAGACTAAAATAGTTTTCACTCTCACTTTTTTAAGGAATTGATGTGCTAAAATTAGATAAGTAGAAACATATGTGGTCACACGTTTAAGCAAAAATTGATCTAAAATTTTTCTTACAAAAATCGATCGAATGATAAAATTCAGTTGGTTTAAAAATTTGGTTGAACAAAAAATCAGTAAATTGTCATTCAAATTGGTCAAAAATCAATTCAAAATTGATTAAGAATCAATGTTGAGAATCGTTTTGAACGGGTCAATGCATAAAAAGTATTTATTTTTTTTACTTTTTTATATTTTTAAATAAATAAAAACTCACATTTATAATAATTTTTATCTTATAAAAAATGTAATATTATTATGTTATGTTATTTTAAAAATTTAATTAATTAATTTTATACTAGTTTTTTTAAAAAATTACACTAGTTTATTACTTCGTATAATATATATATATATATATATATATAATATATATATATATATATATATATATATATAATAGTATTAAGACTCTAATTCAACTTCAATTAAACTAATGAATCATAAATTAATACCTTTATTAATTCTATCGTCGGTTTAATTTAAAAAATATTGCTTTTGTCTGGTCCAATTTTCATTAAAAATGTTTGAACTAGTCTAGTCGTATAACGACGTATATAATGTGTAGACTGTAGGCTCACAGCGAAACAATTATGCATACCACAGACAAAATTTATGACGCAAACTAAATATATTTTAAATCCAAGATTCTCTCCTCAAAACGATGAGAAAACGACAAGCCTGAGTAGCCAATTTTGAAGCAACAAGGTGCTTCAGAATACTGTCGTTTTGTGGAAGTTCAGACAAGTTTTATTTGTTTTTTTAATCACTATATATTAATAATTAGAAATGTTTTTATAAGAGTCAGGAAAATTAGGAATTTTTTTCGTCATTTCATTACTTCTTCATAAGTTCACAAAAACAAAATGAAATTATAATTTATATTTATAATAAAAACATCAACTTAAAATAAAACTAAAAAGAAAAAAACCAAACAACTAGTTTAGAATTTGCAGCAGAAAAATCCTTAGCTTTTTTTGTCCGGTACAGTGTAGTGAACAGCCCCAGCCACAATACCATCATTTGTTTCAAAATATGAAGTGAGAAGTTGTAATTATTAATATACACTTTACCTTGTACGTTAAATTTAAACGTTTAATTACTTTTTATCAATTATAAAATTAACTAATTTAATCATTAAATTTTTTATATTATATTTATCATTATTTATATTAAATTTTTATAAATAAATATGTATAATTTGATAAATAAATATTTACTCATATATATATATTTATATCTATTTATATAACTTTATTTTTACTTTTGCAATTATAGGTTTACACCTTGTTCAAAGTCAATGTAAGAAATTCATGTCAACGTGCCTATCTCTGCAATGAATTAAAAAAATCGCCATCTTTGACTAATCAGTCTAACTCCTTAACCATTATTCAAACTTTTTTTTTTTACCAATAGAAATATTAAAGATATACTCTTTTAATATAATTTTTAATATCTTTGTTATTTATTAATTTTTTTAAAATATTAATTTTTTAAAAAATATTTTAATTTTTTTAAAGATTGATCAATTATATAAAATATATTTAAATTTTTTTAAAAAAATATATTATTAATATTTCTCCAATAGGAAAAAAAAAGAGAAAGGGTACCACCAACCTCACAGATGAAGCACTTGTTCACCTAACCAGAGCAACCCCAGCGGGTGCCAATGCTTTATAAAATAGCTCCACTTCACTGCCTAGAAGCAACCATCATTAACATCTTCTCACAACAAAATCACTTAGTCTTTTAATTTTTGTGTTGATTTTGGATCTTCATAATCCATGGGTGTTGTTACTCAGGAATATGCTACCCCTGCTGCTGTGCCCCCTGCAAGGCTTTTCAAAGCCATGACCTTAGATTTCCACAACCTCTTCCCCAAGCTTGTTGATGCCATCCACAGTATTGTTTTCACCCAAGGAACTGGTGGCCCTGGAACCATCAAGAAGATTACCACAATTGAAGGTCAGCAAATTAATGCTTGCTTTTAATTAAACACGTAATTGTAATTAATCAGTACAAATTAATTAATAAACTTAATCATATTTTAATTAACATTTTTTTAACACGTGAACGAACTTATGTGTAATAACTTTTTACTAAAAATTACAAAATGTTACCGAATTTAATGAATTAATTTAATGGGTGCAGGGGACAAAACGAAGTATGTGTTGCACAGAGTTGATGCAATTGATGAGGGTGCTTTTGTATATAACTTCAGCATAATTGAGGGTACTGGCTTGGCTGAACCATTGGAGAAGGTATCGTATAAGAGCCAATTGGTAGATGGTCCAAATGGAGGAACCATTAGGAAGGTGCATGTCCAATTTTTCACCAAAGGTGATGCTACCCTCAGTGAGGAAGAGCTCACGGCTAACAAAGCCAAGATCGAAGGGCTTGTAAAGCTCGTTGAAGGTTACCTTTTGGCCAACCCTGATTACTGAAACTCTTTCGAACTAATAATAAGAGCTTGGCTATGATGCAAATTGATAAGCTTGATCCATGGATCTACAACACCAACGCTTTCTTCTATCATATCTTCCAAATTTTTCTTTATTATGACTTGGGCGTGTAATCAATCATAAATACTACTAGTTTTTGGCTACTATGTTGCTTTTGCATTTGGTGAAAATTGATGTGTTCCACTTGCACGATTAAACAAATTCATTTATATAAATATAGACTAAATACTATGCATTTGGAGAGAACGACAAAATTGAAAAAATAAAATGACCATACTTTGGAAGCTAGAAATTTGTTTCTACAAGAATATTGAACAAATTTAATTTTTTTTTCTTCATGTTCTGTACGTAATTTACACACGGAATAGTTAGGCCTATTTTGAGGGAACCAATCCATATAAAGTGAGTGAAAGACACAACATAGGATTACATTAATTCAATACGTAAGATGGGAAGTCTTGCTTTTCATTCATCATACAAAGTATCTTTACATTAACACGACAGAAAATATACAACTAAACCTTAACTAAACTTCGAAAAACATCTGATATCAACTAAATTCCTCAACACTAGGACACATCTTGCAAATTTACTCAACATTGCTAGAATATTTCTTGCATGGCGTGCTTATCCCTCTATATCTGGATTTTATTCATTATTATTAGAATTAAGTTTAAAATTTTAAGTTGACTATTCAACGATAAACTATTTAGATATTTATTTAGAGACGAGTTATAAAATGCATTTATTCTTTGAGAAGCAAATTATAAGCTTGACTTTGAATATTTATATTATCAAATTTTGAGAGAGAAATATATCAAAATCATTCTAATAAAATCCATAATTATTCATGCAGAATTATTTAACATATCTTTGAATTCTTTTTATTGCATGATTTAAAAATAAAAATATCCAAAACAATAAAGTACAATCATTTTTTATAATTATAAAAAACAATGGGGTTTTTTTTATACGATAGTTTATGATTAAATCAGACTACGGGTACATTCAATTAAAGTTTTATAATTTTCATTCTTACAGAACCCTAAAACAGGCTTCCATCGCATTTGGGCACCGTAGATAATCCGATATGTATTATTTAGCATAACTGCACGAACCATTCTATTGGAAGTTGTGTTGAAAAGTTTTTAAAAGGAGAAAGGAGAGAGTAGTAGAATTTTTTGTTTTAAATTAAGAGAAATATATATAATTCATAATAATGAATAAACAATACATTAAATTTCACATGAAGAAAAAATCTTCCTTTTCATCGATGGGATTTGTAACAGGACAATAAACAGAGGTGTGGTGTTCTTTTCTTATTTGACCAGATACAATTGAATGTTTCCGAAAACCAAAAATACTCATGTTCTTCCAACTTAATTACACACACCCTCAATTGCCATGTATATTCACATAAAATTGATTTACTCAATTTCACTTTTATCCCACTATTATTGTTTAGGTTTAATTTGAATCTTAAATAATTTTTGCACGGATTTTATTTCTTTATTGTTATTATTATTATTATGCTCCAATTATTTTTTCATGCATAGAAAATCTTCAAAATATATATTTTTAACTCAAATAATTAGAGGTTTGAGACAACTTTGAGATACAAAATTATTTTTTAAAGGTTGATAATCCAAACAATTTGGTCAAATTTAAGAGATTTTATATGATGTGATATTAAGGTTTCAAGGATGAGAAATTTTGAGATTTTTTATATTTTGGATGAAATATTGGTTAATAAATTTAAGAAGAGAAAATTGGGTCTTGTTTTAAAAAAAGAAAAAGTAGTTAAGTAAAAAAAAATTATTTTTTTGAGTCGAATAGAATTACTATCTTTTAAGTATTTAATATAATTGTATTTACTTATACTTAAAACTTTAAATCACATGTTAAATTGAAATATATATTGTTTTAGTTGAAATTTAAACTTGTTAAATCGAAAGAATTTTTGTCAATTGATCTATATTCGGAAATAAATGTGAAATCTACCTTACTCTATTGTATTAATTCTTTGGAATATGAAATATAATAATTTGATTGGTGAGGTTTGGAGATAAGACAGTTTAAAATGGCCAATTTAATTTAGTTGATGAGATCAGAATTTGAGAATTATAGATACAAAATTTTAAAAAAAGAATTATTACAACAATTAGAAAATCAGAAAAATATGATTATAATAATTAAAAATATCAAAGAATTAAAATTTTTAAAAAATTATTGTACGACGAATTCGCGCAATAGCCATAATAAAGGAAAAGGAAAAAGGAATCGACCCAAAATAATTCTGATGCATCTTTTTTATCCATGATCATACTCTTTTTTATTTTCCGATTCTACCATAGTCCGATTTTATATTTTCTTTATCTGGTTTTGCAATTTTTAAAAATTTAAAACATATTCTCTTTTATTTCGATAGATTTTTATTAAAAATAAAATTAGTTTAGTTCATCCTTGGGAATTTTATTAATAGAAGAGCCAAATTAAGACAAGTTACTTTCTGCTTAGAATGACAGCTTAAATGAAATGAAATGGACTTCAATATTCTTTGCGGTCGTATAAGATAAGAGACGAATTCAATATAGAAGTCAGAGTTCTGTTAAAGGGATAAAATTTACTATAAAAAAAGGGGATAAAATTTATATGCTATTTTTAAAAATATTTTGACTGTTATTTATTAATTATAATTAAAATTTAATTTTAATAAAAACTATATTTAATATTATTGTAAATTATTAAAATTATAATTACAATTAGTAAATAGAATAATAACATTTAAAAAAACTAAACCTAAATTTTATCGAATTAAATAAGGAATAAAAAACAATGAGAGGGGTTGCCAATTTTGAAACTTGGCCGTTCTTGAACTCTTTGTGCTTCTGCGTTAGTCAAACCCTGCAGTTTTCAATCCTTATCTTCATCGGCCACAACTTCTAATGTAACATGACATCAACTTCTAAATATATGAAAATCGGATTCATATTTATTTCTAAGGAAACACAAATGATCATGGGGATCCCATTTCAGTTTATTTAAACCTCTTTCGAATACCATTAATGCATGCTAATTAGAAAAATTAAATCTCATTATTATCTTCACAATTAATTTTTTTTTAAAGGAACACTCTCATCAATTTCCGCAACTTTGTATAACTTAGTGTATTATAAAGTTATATTAATGTCATATTAGATGATACATGTTTGTTTGATTGACTAAAAACAGTGACTAAAGAATGTGTTTATGCGTCACAAAGGAAAATTTTGGTTTTTCATAGTAATCCTCCATAACTTCTAATATGCGTGATTTCAGGAACGAACGTAGACATCTGATTAAATATTATGATTTCGTTGTCATTAAATATACAATAATTCTTTTTTGTCAATACATGAAGAGCTTGTTTACACCTTCTTCTTTTTTTTCCGTCAAATTGCGAATGACTGGGTCACATAATTCGATGACATAAGACTACTGTTAACAGTATAATAACACATTTTTATTCTTTACTTATTTACTTTTAAAATAATTTTTACTTTTATTTATTTATTTAAAATTTTAAGATACTATTAAATATCATATTTATAATTATACTGCTATCTCTATATAATTTTAACTATTTTACACATTTATTATAATTGAAAAAAATAAAGGTAAGAGTAGTTTATATTGGCATAAGTTGATCGCTTCTATAAAGGATAAGGTTAAATAAAATTAAGGGTTAAATTAAATAAAATAATATGTTTAATAATATTTTATTAAAAATAAATTTTATTAATTTAACTAATAAATTTTTAAATATTATCACGATGGTCATATATATATATATATATTACACAATTTAGATAATTATATATAATGTAATTTAACAGTTATTATTTATATATTTTGAATGACATGTCATATGTTAAAATAAAGTAATTAAGGTGATGAAATATTAATTTTGTAAAACTGTGTTAATTTTATAGAGTCCATATTTAATAAAAGGGTTATATATATATATTCACACACAAATTCAACCCTTTCCTCTTGGATCATTCTGGATCTTAATTATTTTAGTAAAAAAAGTATTATTTTAGTCCAAGTTTAAGTTTATTAAAATAAGCTAAACACTTAAATATTTTAGTCTAAAAAAAATGGTGATGTCAATTAGTTCCTGCAAAGAAAGTGGAGATTAATTTGGTCCATCAATAATAATAAATTTAATTCTGTAAAGAAATTTCACATCGATTTAGTCCTTGATCATAGAAAGTAAACATTATGTATGTCCCACAATCTGCAGCTCCACTAAGTTCTTCTATGAACTCTTAATTTTTTATTATCATAGATGAAATTATAAATGGAAGTGCAACCTGTCATTAATTTATCATAATATTAAAAAAAGGTATGATTGCTACCCTTTTTGTTTAGATAAGTTTTAACTATTCAGATATATATACATAAATAAAATTGAGTATTGTTAACTAATATCTTTAATGAATTGGTTTAAAAATAATTTTAATTTCTTAATCTGTGTCAGTGTTAATATTTTTCATAAAATAAACTAGTAGTAGTTGAGTATTGTTCCCCTTTGAATAATTCTGTGTCTTCTCTTTCCGAATTCCATTAAAGATTGTGGAAATTAAGAGAACACGGAAAGGATTGACCTAATAAATAAATATGATGATGAGGTAGAACTTGAGTGAACTTGTTCAGCTATTAGGAGTAGGTGTTAGGCAGTTTCTATAAATAGCATATCTCTGCCATAAACCTCATATCCCAAACAAAACTCACATATTCTTCTGATCAATACTCTGATTAGTCTCTCTGATGGGTGTTTTCACTTACAATGACGAGGAAATCTCATCCGTGGCTCCAGAGAAACTCTATAAAGCTTTGACAAAAGATGCTGACAGTATCACTCCAAGGGTGCTTGAAGCCATCCAGAGTGTTGAAATCGTTGAAGGAAATGGAGGGCCCGGAACCATCAAGAAGATAACCGTTCTTGAAGGTTAGTCTATGCTACACACATACATATTTTCATTAATATTAAATATTTATCACAATTTTCTTACTTATATCTGATTAATATGACCTCTCCTCTCTCTCTCACCTAATAATAAACTTAAAATCAAACAAAATATTATTGTTTTAATCAAAATTATAATATCACCTAAATAGAGACACTTTATTTTAGAGAAACTCTACTTTTGGTTAAAATAACAAAAAAAATAAAAATTGCATCTGAATTCTATTTTATTTTAAAATCAATGGTTCGTCGTTGGGGTTTTAAATCGATTAGAAACAAAATTATAGAAAAAAAAAAGTTTCAAAATCCGTTTCGAAATCAATGCGTGTTTTAAAACTAAACTCTGTAAAAGTAATTAGTTAAAATTGGATAATTAAACCATTTGTTAATGAGTAAATCGGTTTAGTTTTAACATTATTTTGATTTTTATAATATGATTTGGTTTAGATTATGATCACATTTGGTTAAATTAGTTTTTTGTTTTTGACATATTTCTACTTGTCTGTGTATATGTATTTCAGTGAATCCAATATACGTGGCGTATTTATAATTAATCAGCTACGATAAATTAACTATTTAAGTGGTGACGTGAAGTCTCAGGCCAATTGACTCAAGCTAACACTTAAAAGAATTTTTATTTATTTAATTATTACAATAAATATTATGAAAGTTATACTAATAATGTAGCATATTATATCAAGAAATAAATTTGTTAATAAAAAATATTAATATATACTGTCAATACATTAAATATTAGTATAATACACTATTTGTCATAATAAACTTTTAAGCTCTATAATGATAATTAGCAAATAATATTTGTTTAAGTACAAGAATAATTTAACCTAACAATTAGTTGATAAATGTCAACACCGTTTAAGACACTAATTATTAAAAAGTTAAAAATAAAATAAAAATTATTAATATACCATTTACATGATATAGAATACATTTTAATATAATTTTTAATATTTTATTTATTTATTTTAACTCCTTAGTGAATATGATGTGTGAAGGTATATATATGTGAAATTTATGATGGTTGCAGGCGGGAAAACTAGCTACGTGCTGGAAAAGGTTGACGCAGTTGATGAGGCTAACTTGGGATACGACTACAGCTTTGTGGGAGGAACAGCGTTGGATGAAAGTTTGGAGAAAGTAACATTCGTGACAAAGGTGGTGGCTGGCCCAAATGGTGGCTCCATTGGGAAGGTCACTGTCAATTACCACACCAAAGGCGATGCACCACTTTCAGAAGCAGTGCGTGAGGAAACTATGGCCAAGGGAACTGGGCTTTTCAAGGCCATTGAGGGTTATATTCTTGCAAATCCTGATTACTAGATCCCTCTCACTATATTAAGCACTTTCTTTTTCTTATTATACAAGTAATTAAGTAAATAATATTGTGCTTAATTATGTGCTCATTTATATTTGTATCACCAACGAGCCCTCCTTCAAGTGGCTCCAAGTGTCGGTTTGGTATAATATAATGTTTGCTAATGTGAGTGAATTTGGTTGGATATGTTGGTATTCACGTCTTTGGATTGCACCATTTGTATTCCTCAATAAATGCAAAGGATTTGGTTGCACTTTCTCTCTGTCATTTTTTTTCCAAAAAGTCAATCATATTATGTCCTCAAACAATTCAACTAACCAAGCTCTCCCCAACTGTGCAAAAGGGCTATTCAATTTAGTAACCTGCTCGTATATTACTTTCCATCTTAAATAATTAAATTAGTTTTTCTATAAGAAAATCATGTTCTTCTAAAAATCAATATAATAACCTATTTTTAGTTACAAAAAATAAAATAAAATGGCTTCACTATTATGGTTAGGCATATACATGGACCCTTGATTTTATGATTTATCGGATAAGATTGATCACATGACAGAACTTCATCAAATATAACATAACATTGACAATACAATAACATAACAGAACAGGGTAGAAATCCTCAAATTAAAAGAACCAAAAGAGGACAAATGAATCAGTGTGCACGCGGCAGAACAGAAGCAGAATCCCGAACCAGATAATACAACAAAACAGAACGTCAGAATCAGAATCTCAAACCAGAAAACCGAGCAAAACAGAAGCAAAATTCCAAACCTGAAAATAGAACAAACAGAATGTCAGAAGCAGAATTTAAGATTATATGACATTTGCATTCATGATACTTTTATTAATAATTTAATTTTTATGAGAATATATATCAATATAAATTAATTTAATGTTAAATTATTAATAAATGACAATTTTTTTCGTAACAGTAGGAGACAGTCTTAATTCTGATTATGATGAGAACCATATCAGCTCATAAAATAGCTTATCCTGTTGTTTGCACAATACCTACACCATGGGTATATATGTTCATTGCTTAAATACTTTCTCAATGTGCATCGTAGATATAATGACAATATGAAAAATGAATGAAGTATACTGATATGGATCAAACACCATCCAGATGTCTTGGTTTCACATGGGATGGGAGTAGCCATGGTTTAAGGCGTAAACTGCTATTATTTTTCCACTAAAAAATGTTTAATTCACCTTACTAGTACACGTAACATTTCCCTCTAAAAAACAAAAGGATAATCTGAATCGATGATTACTATAAATTAATCAATAGTAATCAAACTGCAATAAACAAATACACCAATATTCTCTATGAATTTTTATTTTTTCATAAATAAGGCATTAAACAAACACATCATCCAGACGGATCAGTCTCATTCTAAAGTCGCCTCTTTTTATTTGACTATTTCATTAATTAATTTATTATTTTGGAAGATTATCTCAAAAGTTTCAGATTATTTATCAACAAAGTCATCGACAGAGACAGCTGATAAATAATTGTGTCACTTAAACTACATATTAATAAAAATTCAATTTTGAGTATATGTATAAAAAATAACTTTATTAAGAGAAGTTAAATTATCGTGATAAACTTTACACTTAAAAATAATCTTTGACTGTCAATTATTAAAAGCTACGTACCCTTACCTTATGATTGGTCAGAAGAAAAAAAATACAAAAGAAGAATATGAATAACGATGCAACTTTTTTTAAGGAAAAATAAAAGAAAAAGAAGGAAATTAAAATTGGTTTCTAAAAACAATTTAAAATTTTCCTTCCTTTTATTTTTTTAAATTTCAATTCCATTTTTTTTTCTTTTCCTCCACTTTCCTTCCACTCTAATAAAAGAAATATAGTAGTATTCAAAGCAAAAAAGAAAAAGTTCAAACTAATTGAACCTTAATTAATTTTGCGTATTAGAGGAACTTCCCAGTATCCTGCAGCGCCTATATAAAATGCTTTATCCACAATCCATAAACTCAAAACTCCCTCGGAGCAAAGCAATATTCGAGCCATCATATATCTTCTTCATCTCATCACTTCTTGCATTGATTCTTTCTGTCTCTTGTGTGTCAAAAAATCATGGGTGTTGTCACTACTGAAATTGAGATAACTTGTGCCGTGGCTCCTGCAATACTATACAAAGCGATGGTCCTTGATGCTACCAAAATTTTTCCAAAAGCTTTACCAAACTTCATTAAGAGTGTTGACATCATTGAAGGAGACGGAGGTCCGGGATCCATTAAGCAGTTTACTCTTCCCGAAGGTATATTAAGTTTAACTTTGAGATAATATTTAGGTTAATCAGTATCTTAAGGAAATTTGTTAAAGTATCAAAAATAAATTTTTTTTATTGAAAACTATCATAATGTTTTCTTCTCATGATTTTTATATGAAGATCTTTATATCTTTGACATCAAATTCTCAAGTTAAACAATGATACGTATATTTTTCCAAAATTTTATGACTTATTCTTAATAAAGGTTTTTTAATTTTAAAAAATATTTGCGTTTCATTATTTAATTTGAGAATTCATTTGTAAGAATATACAAAATTTTATTTAAATTTTATTTGTTTTTAAGTTTATATAAAGAACAATTAGTCAATGTATCTCTCTAGGTTCTCCGTGTTATTCACGGTGCATGTTTTTGAGCTTGAATCAATAGAATGTAATAATTCATGTAATCTACTGTTTATATATATGATTAATTAGGATACGTAAAGCTCGAGGTAAATGTGGTGGATTCAATAAACTACGTGTACCAGTGCACAATAATTGAAGCTGTAAGTCCCACGTCGGTGGGAGTAAAGGGGATAGGACCCCTCCTTTGCTTATAAAAGGGTAAGGGGTCTTACTAATCATTCTATCCCAAAATCCTCTCTTTCCCTCTCATTTTGTATTACACTGAACTTGTACTTGGTAGTAATAGTCTCTTATTTTGAGGAGTAAATTTTAGAGTGAGGAGTAGTGTAATTTTTTCTTCTGTAATAATTTTATATTGTCTTTATTGGCTCTTATTTTTCATCTATTATTTTAGTTGTGTGTTATTATACTGATACTCTGGTCCTAACAGTGGTATCAGAGCCACTAAGTTATTTATATTATTCCGCTGTAGTGTACATTGGTATAGTGCTAGAGAAAATTCTTAGTATGCTCTGTGGTTGCAGTATTATCTGATCTGCCACATCAGAAAAGAATTATTCTTGTTACTGGATATACAATTTTGGTAGTGTAAAAGTGCAAATATAGTGTGTACTTATTCACAGTCTACCATTATTATTGTTCCAGTAGGTAGTACTATTCACAGTGAAAATTACATAAGTCGGTATAATTAAGAGAGAAATTATGGCAGCAAAATATGAGATAGAGAAATTTCATAGGAGTAATTTCTCCTTGTGGAAATTAAAGATAAGAGCAATTTTGAGGAAAGACAATTGTCTTGATGCAATTGAAGGCAGACCTGCAGATATTTCAGAAGAAAAATAGAGAGAAATGGATAACAATGCTGTTGCCAATTTGCACTTAGCGTTGGCTGATTCAGTGTTATCCAGTGTTGCAGAGAAGAAGACTGCAAAGGAGATTTGGGACACACTGATCAAGTTGTACGAGGTCAAGTCACTTCACACCAGAATATTCTTGAAGAGGAAACTCTACACTCTTCGAATGAGTGAGTCCACATCAGTAACGGACCACATCAACAATTTGAATACGCTGTTTGCTCAGCTTACAGCCGCAGATTTCAACATAGTAGAAAATGAACGTGCGGAGCTTCTACTCCAGAGTTTACCAGATTCATATGATCAACTTATCATCAATATAACAAACAACAACATTATCGGTCGTCTATCCTTTGATGATGTTGTTGGAGCAGTTCTTGAAGAAGAATCCAGGAGAAAGAATAAGGAAGATAGACTGAAAAATTCTAAACAGGCAGAAGCATTAACGATGATGAGAGGAAGATCAATGGAACGTGGTTCCAGTGGGAGCCAGAATCATGGTAGATCAAAATCTCAGAGAAGGAAGAACCTCAAATGCTACAACTGTGGCAAGAGAGGGCACATGAAGAAAGATTGTTGGAACAAGAAAAGTGGAGGAGGGAAGAATATTGAAGCATCAACCTCTCAAGGTTGTGTTGCAAGTACTTCAGATGATGGTGAAATCTTATATAGTGAAGCAGTAAAATCTAGAGGTGGAAGACAACTTCATGAATGTTGGATATTGGATTCAGGTGCAACCTGGCACATGACTCCATGTCGAGACTGGTTTTACAATTATGAACCTATCTTAGGAGGATCCGTGTTCATGGGAAATGATCATGCCCTAGAAATTGCTGGAATTGGTACTGTCAAATTAAAAATGCATGATAGTACTATTCGTACAATTCAAGGAGTACGACATGTGAAAGGCTTAAAAAAGAATCTATTGTCCATTGGGCAATTGGATGACCTCAATTGCAAGATCCATATTGAAGGTGGAATCTTGAAAGTGGTTAAAGGCAACTTGGTGGTGATGAAAGCAGAAAAGATCACAACCAATTTATACATGCTTTTGGGAGATACGTTGAAAGAAGCAGATGCATCAGTTGCAATTAGTCAAGAAGAAGAAACAATGATGTGGCATCGTAGACTTGGTCATATGTCAGAACGAGACCTGAAAATTCTAGCAGAACGTAATCTCTTGCCCGGGCTCAAAATGGTAACCTTACCATTTTGTGAGCACTGTGTGACAAGTAAGCAGCATAGATTGAAGTTTGGCAACGTGACTACAAGAAGCAGACACATACTGGGCTTGATTCATTCTGATGTATGGGAATTACCGGAAGTATCTATTGGAGGAGCAAAATATTTTGTATCATTCATTGATGATCACTCAAGGAGATTATGGGTGTACCCAATCAAAAAGAAGTCAGATGTGTTTCCAGTGTTCAAGGAATTCAAAGCACTAGTAGAACTTGAAACTGGAAAAAGAATTAAGTGCTTAAGGACAGACAATGGAAGAGAATATGTAGATGGTGATTTTCTGGCATTTTGCAAGCAAGAGGGTATTTCAAGGCAATTCATAGTGCCTTATACACCTCAGCAGAATGGTGTAGCAGAGCGGATGAACAAAACTCTTCTAAAAAGAACAAGAGCTATGCTAAGAACAGCAGGAGTGGCTAAATCTTTCTGGGCAGAAGCAGTGAAAACTGCCTGTTATGTAATAAACCGATCACCATCAACAACAATTGGTTTGAAGACACAAATGGAGATATGGAATGGAAAGCCACCTAATTATTCTTCATTACATGTGTTTGGATGTCCTGTGTACGTGATGTACAATTCCCAAAAAAGAACAAAACTGGATCTAAAATCCAGGAAATGTATATTCTTGGGTTATGCTGACAATGTTAAGGGGTATCGCTTGTAGGATCCCACTGCCTGTAAGGTTGTTGTTAGCAGAGATGTAGTCTTTGCAGAAAATGAACTGCAAAAGGAGCAGAAAGATGACAGTACTACCAACGACACTACTTCAGTAGTGATAGAAAGGAAAGCTAAAGAAGATGACAACTCTGAAGCAGAACAAGAGCACGGAGAAAAAGAATCAAATGATGCCAATGATGGAGAAACTCAACAAACAAGACGTGAGATAAGGAGACCATCTTGGCACTTAGACTATGTGATGGCAAGCCACGATGCATATTGTCTTCTAACAGATGAAGGAGAACCATCAACCTTTCATGAGGCTTTGAGGAGTTCAGATGTTTCATTATGGATGACAGCAATGCAGGAAGAAATTGAGGCCTTACATAAAAACAAGACATGGAAACTTGTTGAACTTCCAAAAGATCGAAAAGCCATTGGTTGTAAATGGGTCTATAAAATCAAACGAGATGGTAATGATCAAGTGGAGCGGTATCGTGCAAGATTAGTGGTTAAAGGATATGCTCAGAAAGAAGGCATTGATTTCAACGAGATATTCTCTCCAGTTGTTCGATTAACCACAATCAGAATTGTTCTGGCAATGTGTGTTGCATTTGATTTACATCTTGAGCAACTTGATGTAAAGACTGCTTTTCTACATGGAGAACTTGAAGAGGAAATATATATGCTCCAACCAGAAGGTTTTGAAGAACAAGGAAAGGAAGACTTGGTTTGCAGGTTGACCAAATCTCTGTATAGTTTAAAACAGGCGCCAAGGTGTTGGTACAAGAGATTTGATTCCTTCATTATTAGCCTCAGATACAACAGACTGAGTTCAGACCATTGTACGTATTATAAGAGGTTTGATGATAATGATTTCATCATTTTGTTGTTGTATGTGGATGACATGCTGGTGGTAGGCCCCAGCAAAGATCGAATTCAAGAATTAAAGGCACAATTAGCTAGGGAGTTTGATATGAAGGACTTAGGACCAGCAAACAAGATTTTAGGGATGCAAATACACCGAGACAGAAAAGATAGGGAGATTTGGCTCTCTCAAAAGAATTATCTTCGTAAAGTCTTGCGGCGCTTCAATATGCAAGACTGTAAGCCAATCTCTACCCCACTTCCTGTCAGTTATAAATTATCCTCAAATATGTGTCCTAGCAATGAAGCGGAGAGGATGGAAATGTCTCGAGTGCCGTATGCATCAGCGGTGGGAAGCCTTATGTATGCCATGATTTGTACTAGACCAGACATTGCACAAGCAGTGGGAGCAGTCAGTAGGTACATGGCAGATCCTGGTAGAGAGCATTGGAATGTTGTAAAGAGGATCCTTAGATACATAAAAGGAACCTCTAATGTTGCATTATGTTTTGAAGGATCAGAATTTATTGTGAAAGGCTATGTTGATTCAGATTTTGCAGGAGATCTGGATAAAAGGAAATCTACTACTGATTATGTGTTTACACTTGCTGGAGGGGCAGTAAGCTGGTTATCTAAGTTGTAGACTGTTGTGGCTTTGTCTACTACAGAAGCTGAATACATGGCAGCTACTGAGGCATGCAAGGAAGCAATCTGGATTCAAAGGCTATTGGAGGAACTTGGGCACAAACAGCAGACTACAACTGTGTACTGTGACAGTCAAAGTGCTTTGCATATTGCAAAGAATCCAGCTTTTCATTCCAGAACAAAGCACATAGGTATACAATACCACTTTGTTCGTGAAGTAGTAGAGGAAGGTAGAGTGGATATGCAAAAGATTCACACCAAAGACAACATAGCAGACATAATGACAAAGCCAGTGAACAATGACAAGTTTACATGGTGTCGATCCTTGTATGGCCTATTAGGAATATAAGCAACATATAATTGTAATATATTAGGAATGTGTGAAGATATAATTAACTTAATCATAATCTTCAAGTGGGAGAATTGTAAGTCCCACATCGGTGGGAGTAAAGGGGATAGAACCCCTCCTTTGCTTATAAAAGGGCAAGGGGTCTTACTAATCATTCCATCCCAAAATCCTCTCTTTCCCTCTCATTTTGTATTACACCGAGCTTGTACTTGGTAGTAATAGTCTCCTATTTTGAGGAGTAAATTTTAGAGTGAGGAGTAGTGTAATTTTTTCTTCTGTGATAATTTTATATTGTCTTTATTGACTCTTATTTTTCATCTCTTATTTTAGTTGTGTGTTATTATACTGATACTCTGGTCCTAATAGAAGCGAGTATTTTGTCAGACCCATTGGAGAAGATATCGAATGAGTACAAATTTGTGGGAAGCCTTGATGGAGGGTGCATCGTCAAGTCCACAGGCAAATACTATACCAAAGGTGATGAGCAACTGACAGAAGAATTTCTGAAGCCTAACAAGGAAAGGTTTACACTGTTCACCAAGGGTATTGAGGATTATCTTATGGCAAATCCTGATTACAACTGAAACAACAACTCAGTTTTCGGTGTTGATTGTGGTCTTTCTATGTTTTCTAAGCCATCATGTTGCTTCAACTACTTGATTTGAACGGGGAGTGTAAGATTATTTAGGAGTTATCTCTGTATTTGTGACATGGTGATGAGGGGCTAATGTTATGTATGAGCTTTTTCGTTGTCTCTAGTTTAGGACATTAGCTTGCGATTATGATATTTTTTGTGCCATTTGAAAAGGACGCGAGGTTTCTTTTATATTTAAAATGTATGTTCTAAGATTGTGTGCATATAAATACGTGTGTTATCAAACTTTAATTATTTAAATAATGAAACTCTTTTAATAAGAAAGTGAACGCCTTATTGAAGCGGAACGAACTAAGATGCAGTCTCTGGAGAAGTGCATCCTTGGTTGGTCAAACAGATTATGTATACGCTTGAATATATAACTTATTTAATAAACCATTTTTAGATGATAATTTATATTATAATTTAATATTAAAATTATTAAGATAAATTAAAAATAATTTATTTAATAAAAATTATTAAAATAGTTATCATACTAACCCTTGCACGAAATAGCTGTATAACCATCTAACTTGTCACCATATACGACGAATCCAATTACGAATGCATACATGGTGGAGATGGAATTGAAAATTTATTTCCAATAAAACTTTTGTACGTGTCCGTTTCACTTTGTCACCTCATTCCTTATTATTTATTTTTTCTGCTTTTCTTTTTTCTTTTCATAATCTTTTGGTGGGGAATTTTAATAAACAATTTGATTGATAAGATCCCGTAAATCCCATTAGTCTTGCAATGTCAAACTAAATTTTAATACTTCACCGTAAAATTGTTAATCCTATGCGTTTCAATAACGAATATATTAGCAAAATTGGCATATTTAATAATTTTTATAAATTTTCATTTTCATTAATCTATCCATTCCATTGGAAATTCTCATTAAAGAGATTAAATATACAAAAATTTCAGTAATCAATCGGAACCGCGTTAGTATCTCTAATTCTCTTTTTTTTTTTCTTTTTTTTTTTTATCGACATGTTTATACCTCAATTGAGACACTGAAAAGCTAGCAACTCTTAGGCAGCCCGCAGAGAAATATTGTCCTTCATAATCTGCGAGAAATGATGTTTCAGGAGGGCATGAGTAATAAGAACAAGATTATTCAAAACCAACAATATTAGATGACAATTTTTTTGACGAAGAGCAAGGGTGATTAACAGAAACAGCAATCCCTACATCACATGAAACAAACTAAAATTTATTTCCTTTGTTAGATTTTAAATAAATCAATTATTTGAGTTATCACTTATTCTCTGCTCACTTATTGGTTCCACATCAGTGCTTTATGGGATGCGGGTCACAAAATCTTAAACCTTGGTTCTTGCAGTGAACCGTAACTGAACAATCCACGACACACACTGTTATATTTGCTTCAGCTACTTTTTTCAATGTTGACTTCCATGTGTGTTACTGTTCAGTAACAACTTAATAATATATAAGGCTTAAATATATATAGGCCCGATTTGAGTGAGTTTATAGATAAGTCCTTATGAGAGAAGAAAAATAATACGAAAAGCGAAACATTTGTTCGCTAATATTAAATTGAGTGAAATGAATTAAGAAAAGAAAGAACTATAACCACAAAACTTATATAATTTACTCTCCAAAACACTACCTGAGATATATATTCCTTAACCCTGTCGCTGATGGGTCCATCTAAGGCTCTGTCAGCAAGCTCATAATATACAGTATTGCCTTCAGGACCATTAACTTTGTCTTTCTGTAAATACCTACAAAGAAGAAGACGAATCAATAATTACTTTATTGCTTTTCTGGTGAAATCAGAGGTGCCACAAAATGCAACAGATCTTGTAATTTAATCCACCACATTAAACAAATATCACCTTTGCTGAACAAGAAGTTCCAATGCTTGCTTAACATTTCCAAGGATTGGATGACTTGCTTCATTTTCACCCAAACCCATTCTCCTCATTTGGCTCCACAGATTATCTGCAATACCCTCACCAGGAGTTCCATTGTGTTAAAAAGACAGTATCAGAATAGCCCTTGAAATTTTCAGTGAAGTTTTAAGCTAATATAACAAGCAAACTGTAAAAAGCAGAACCTTATATTTATTAGATTTCTAAAGACCTTAAAGTAGTAGCATTGACTTCCATATGTTTATTTCAGGTGCATATGTATGAGTAGATATATAATTTTAGTATTATGACACTAAATTTGCAACCATACCTTCTGGAATTTTGCCACCAGCAAGATGTACAATACTAATTATGACAAAGGTGAATCCAGGCAGATGTGCAGTATTCACATCCACAACATATTTTTCATATACATCAGGAGGAAGTTGACTTATTAGAATATACGACTTGGATTTCTCAACACCTGGAAGAACAAACATCATAATAAAACTAGTAGAGGAAAATGTAGATGGCAACAACAAAAACACAGTTGGAAAACTCTAGAGAATGTAAACAGATTCGAACAAGCAAAAAGCAATTTTGTCTACTTTACTCATTTTCTCTGAACGTATTATCCACAGTGCTTTTAAAAAGAATGTTGCCTGAGGCATTCTCTAGTTTCTACTGATTAGAAGGTAAAAGTATTATGAGGACACAGTTCTTCAAGCAATACTTTACATATAGCCAAAGCAACCACCTAGAAAGGTGGATCAATAATCAATTATTGACCGATAGAGATATTAAGAGAGTAAGGTGATCATAAACGTAGAAAGGAATACATTGTCAATCAATTAATAGAATAGAAATAGATCATATTTGCTTATGATTCAAAAAGGCAGTAACTGGTTGTGAAATCAACAAAAAAATACAATGACAATCCAAATTCATAAAAACTACATGACTCATAATGCCCACGCGGCAGCCCATTAAAATATTCTTAATGGTAAAATACAGAATATGTAATTTAGCCCATATTACTGTTCCAACATTCCCTGCATACAATTATAACCTGTGCTCAAATTGTGTTAAAAAAATTCATGAAAAGGAAGTATAAACAAAAACATTCCTAAAACTCAGCATTCCCATATGAGGCATTTGATGAGATAAAAGCAAAATTAAAACAAGAAAGAAAATGCAAAAACGCTCACTTTGTTGAGAAAGTCGTGCGTGGGCTTTGGATGATGGAATGGACCTTTGAAGCTCCCTCATCTCATAGCCAAAAATGAAAGAAAGCTTGTCCTTAGCCTCATTGATGACAAAAGTAGGAAGGTTACGCTGATGATAGCTCTTTGTAACGAGTTGAGTGAGTTCCTCTCTCTTAATTGGGCACCCTGAATTTTGATGGGTTTTGAAAAGCATATACCGAATCACTTCTCCAACAAGCTTATCCTTTTCCTGAAAATAAATTATAAATAAATAAATAAAATGCCCTTGTTCCCAAAATGTTTGTATCTTTCTAAGAACGTGCAATGAAAAAAGGGGGAGGACCTCCTTTGAAATTCCAAATTGGGAGAAATCTTCAGCAGCATTTGCCATCCTGCAAGCATTGTTAGCAAAGTATTTTAAGTTACTGTCTTCAAATTGGAATCTTGTGTGTGAAAAAATCAGGGTTCATTGATAAGCATATGAACTCATACCGGGATCGAAATTCGAATACTTCGCTGCGACAGAGTTCGAAATGAAGAGTTGCAGAACTTCCACTGAGGCACTTTGCTTTTGTTCCTCCTGCGTGGTTAGCGCGCTTTGAGCTTTGCTTAGGGTTCAATTTCGACATCGTACTCAAGTGTTTTGTTTTTCTTTGAAAGTCAAAACGACACCGTTTTGGCTTATGAGGATAAGCCAATGGCCAATGACCATTGACCATTGACCATTGAATTTTTTTTTTAATTATTATGTTAAGAGCAATCTAAATGTTTTGATTGCATTGATTTTTTTTCCCTCAAAAGTTAACAATTTTGTATGTTAAGAAAAGATATTACTTCTATAAGTGGATTGACAGTATTAAAATAAAGATGTAATTATTAAAATTAACTATCACAATGTTACAATTATTTTCACAGCTTCGTGATTTTAGTGTCAAAGTCACTTGAGGAAGTAAATAAAACCCTAAATTTGAAGTGGATTGACAGAAGGCAATAAGGACTCTAGCATGTTCCAATCTTATATAATTTGAATGAAGAAAAAGACTAATAATACCTTGAGAAACTAACCCCAAATGATTGTTTCAAGATGTCAGAAATTAAATGGAGAAATCAAGAGCCTTTATTCATCATTAATTTAATTTAACATAAATTATGACTATAAAACATTTTAATTTACTTGTTTTATATGTTTTTGATCTATCTCCTAATTTTAAAAAAGACAAATTCTTTTTATTTGTTACCTTCAGCCTTTTTTGCTACTAAAGGGCCTTTTTATTTCTTAGAACCCAAACTAGAAAAAAAATGATATTAATGAAGTAATATTTAATTAAAGTAGTTGATTAGGCGAGTCCAGAATCTCATGAAGCAACCCAACTCAACACACCTTGCTTTAATGTTCTTTCTTTGGTAACAGAGAAGACACCTTGCAGGCCCAATTACGCGATCTGGAACGAAAACATGTCAAGGGAAGAAGACAAGTGCGAGCGCGTGGAGAGAGCGTTACGCGAGTGCCACCGGCGAGTTCCATCGGGTCCGAGTCGCGACACGGCGTGTCGTCACCTGAACCACGCGCTGGCCACGTGCCTTGTCTCTTTGGCATGTCCCCATGAATGGGAGGCCGTGCGCACCCTTTGCTCCACCGCCGGCACCGCTCTTAAACGCCAACAATGCCAACAGGCTCAGCTTTCTCTCTCCCTTTGCCTCTCTCTCTCTTCTCAACAACACAATATGTAATATTGATTCCCTTTGTTTATTCAATTCCATGTAATTTCCTATTAATTCCTTTGTTTTTTATATCCTCAGAGCTTTTGTAATTTTGCTTTTATCACCCGACGGTCAATTTATTATAGAAGGAAAAAATAAAATTATTATGATTTACATAATACTTATTCGAATTAAAACGGTTGTGAGAAATAATTTGTATAGTAACCATTTATTGGATTCGTTTTAGTTAGTTAAATTAGCTAAACGTGCTCCAATTCATAGAGAAAATAATGAAAGAAGAGGATAATAATTTACGTGTTGGTTAGGAGAATTAAATAATTTTTTCTTAACAATAAATTTCGAGTAAATTAATTTATCCCATCTAATTAATATTTTACATCTTTAAAAGTCCTTTATTAGCACTAAATTTTTATGTCATGATCGATGATAAACTGAGAGAGAATTATTTTGACGACCATAACTACTTATTTGGGCCATTAAATATGATAAGCATCAATCAACTACTATTTTTCAAACAATTAATTAAAATTTTAAAACAAACTGTTAACAGGGGAAGGGAATGAATGGGAACTCATAAATGGGTGCGAGATTTGTTGTCTTCAATAGGCTGTAGTCTATGGTGGGTGAAAACAGCAAGGATGATCATAACTTATGGCTGCAATTGTGTTGGGAAAACAGAGGGATATGAATCTTGTTTCTGTTAACTGCAATTTCTTATGGTATTAAGATACTAGCCATTTCCATGTCACTTTCATTTTTTAAGGAGTTTCTATTTGTTTTTTGGTTAAAGCCAATATCTATGTTACTAAAAACAATGGGTGCATGAATTGCAGCCAACAAATTTTCAACTGACTTAAAGGCTCCAATGGAAATTCAACCCCCTCATTTAAGTTTAGGTGTTATTCTCATACTTAAAATGGCGGTGAGTCGGTGGCCATATAAGGTAGCCCAATAAAAAACGACAAGAGTTTTTAATAATTATTAATTAGCATGCTATGTATGTTAACACCTTGTGGTTGGCATAGATCTAAAGTGATAGGATCACAGGTTGCATTGTTATGCTGATTGATTAGATGCTAGTTAAGTATTTAAGAAAATAAGTATTTTCATTGGAATTAATGTGGCATGCAAGGACGGTCCGTTAAAATAGTGGGACAGGAACCTTGGTAGCTTGGTAGTTTTGGTGATCTGGGAGTTGGAGAACCATTGTTAGATGCCACAACATTAATTGCCTATGTTCTTCTTGATCTATAAATACAAACGCCTGTGTCATCTCACACCACTGCATTTGATCTCTCTCACTACTTGACTACTTCTACTTCAAGTTTCTAGCTACTATACTTTGTAATTCTAAGCAGCATGGATTTCTTGACTTTCAACCAGGAGTACACTAGCACTATCCAGGCAGAGAGAGTGTTCAAGGCTTTGATTCTTGATGCTCCTAACCTCATTCCCAAGCTGATGCCTCAGGCTATTAAGAAAGTTCAACTTGTTGAAGGCAATGGAGGCCCCGGAAGCATTCAGGAGATAACCATTGCTGAAGGTCTGTTGCATTAATTTATCTTAGTTTTCCTTTGTTATTTGTTGCAGTTATTGTTATTATTTGTGACTAGGGGTGTGTTTGAAAAAACAATTTAATTAAGCGTTTATTCAATTAGCTATTTTTAAATGAGGGCTTATCATATAAATTTACCATATATATATATTTTTTAATATGCTAAAAAGAGTTGATTTTGATAAGTTTAAAAAGCTTACTAAAATAAGAGGAAAAGAGTATATAAGAACTATAAGTTATTTTCATAAGCACTTTTAAAACGCACCCTAAATATTGATTGATATCCAAGTGGAATGGGGAAATGGCATATGGGAGCTCAACACCCCCCTTGATCTTTAAGACCATGCAATTTACCGAGCTAAGGCTCACTGGAAACTAGTTTCCACTTTTGTTTCTTAAAGAATTGGGTTTCTAAATATAATCTAATCATATGTCTCAAACTGAAATGACTAACAAAGAGATCATCGGTAATGCCTACAATGCAGGTGATCAAATCAAGCACTTAAAGCATAGAATTGATGGAATAGACCAGGAAAAGTTGACATATAGCTATGCAGTGATTGAGGGGGATGCTCTACTGGAAAAAGTTGATTCAATTTCACATGAGATAAAGGTCGAGCCCACTGAAAAGGGAGGTTGTAAGGTCACTACTGTAAGCAAGTATCATCCTAAACCAGGTGTTGAGATCAAAGAAGATGATTTCAAGGCTGCAAAGGAGCAAGGATTGGCTCTTCTCAAGGTAGTAGACGCCCATCTCATCGCAAACCCACAAGCCTATGCTTGAAGTGAGTTTTATAGGGAACCTTTGCATTACATTATATTATGATGTACTCTAAATTCAGCCTGTAGTCTACTTTGAAGCCATATATGATATGGCTAATAATAAAATTTATATGTACGAGTTATTTTGATGGGGTTTTGTTAGTTAAGTTATTTTGACTCGTTATTTAACCGGGCTTGATAGTTAAATTACACTATCCACATCATATTTACACGTTATAGTGTAACTGTGTAAGTCATAAGAGAACCTTAATTGTGTATGTTAATTGGTCCTTCAAGATGAATTAACCGTCATAAGAGAACCTTAATCATCACCCATTCGTAGGTAGTTAACATTGGACCATTACCTTTGTCTTAAAATACTATTTCGGATCTTAAAAGCAGCTGATCTGAGCAGAGTGATTGTCCATTTTGAACTTCATAAGCAATGTCTACTACATAAGTAAATAACTAAAACCACTTTTGATTTCTTCAAGGCAAGAACTAAACAAACTGCCAAGGATCTTTCATGAATATTTAATTATATTATTGATTTATATTGTGACGTATGGCAAAATATTATTGATTACTAAATATAATAATACGAAACAATTTTATCCTCAAAGAAGAATATAAGGATATACTTTGGTACTTTCACAGAAAAAACCCAAATACTTTCCTAGAAATTTTCGAAAAAAAAATTTACTTGTTAGCCATTTGTACAAATGCGGAGGAACCAAATCCTATAATACACTAAAATAAATTAATTTTAATAGTTATATAGACCAATTAAGGGTATCGGAAAATTTCATTTCTTCTCCCTGTTATCATGGAATCTATTTATTGGGTCATAAATTTAACTTTATTTAATTGAGCCCCTATCATATGACAATTGACAAAGATGCAAAACTCACATCGAAATAATGGAACACTCTAGGCCATAAAGCACCATCATTTAGTCAGGTTTTGAATTGGCAGCTAGAAATTTGTTTTGCCCCAAGAAACAGCTTCATCCATTTGTTGGCCAATCTTACAAAATTTCTTTTATTTGATAAATCAAATCTTGAAAACATCGTCCTTGGGACAAAGAAATGCAAACAAAGGGGATATGAACTTGGACATTATAAATACCAGTCTCAACATCTGATTCTTGCCAATTTCACCAAGCACTTCTAGTTCCTTAGCAGTGGTGTCCTAATATCACTTTCTAGCATGGGTGTTTACACTGACACAGATGAGTATCCATCTACAATCTCTCCAGCAAGGTTGTTCAAAGCCTTGGTTGTTGATGCTCACAACCTCATTCCAAAACTTCTGCCACATGCTGTGAAGAGCATTGAACTAATACAGGGTGATGGTGGTGCTGGAAGCATCATGCAGATTAATTTTATTGAAGGCATGTAACTTTGTATCACCGACTTCAGCAGAAATTATAGTTAGTAGCATCACATCTGTTGGCAAAATAGTGAGTTTATAAGCTTTACATGACTCTTCCAAATGTCTCCAAGAAGTTAAAACTACATCTCCTGTAAACTCTTTTTAGCTTATTTTAATAAACATTCTAGTATACCTTATTAAACTAAACTCTTTTTTTAAAATTATTTCAGTAAATTTCATGATCAAATTTATGTTATAAGCCTTCATGGGCTATGAACTTAGTGAATAAGCACTTAATTAAGTTGTTATCCAGAACCACCCCGAAGATGACTTTCTTTTCCATGCAGGTAGCCATATGAAAAGTGTTAAGAACCGGGTTGATGAGATAAACAAGGACACATTTACTTACAATTACACATTGATTGAAGGTGAAGCATTGAAGGACAAGTTTGCATCCATTGCTCACGAGACTAAGTTTGAGGCAACACCTGATGGTGGTAGCATGAATAAGATAACAAACAAGTATTATCTTAAAGGTGATATAGAGATCAACGAAGAGGACATTAAGGCTGGCAAGGAAAAAGTCTTAGGCATTTACAAAGTTGTGGAAACTTATCTCCTGCAGAACCCTGATGTGTATGCTTGAATCATTATATAGTCACTAGTAAGTTAATACCACTACCGGTTTCACAAGTCTGTTTAATGGCTAGCTTTTGTATAATAAGGGTCTGAAATGTTTGAAATTTGGGTTCAAATATTGTTGCACTTCTTATGTTTAACAGTGGCATGGAATCCAAAATGAATTTTTTTTTGTGCCATGAATGCTTCCTACTTCCATCTTAATGTTCTATTTGTTGGTGTAGCAAATAAAAAATTTATCTTATTTTTTAGGGTCATTTTATAGCTAATTTCACTAGTGTTGCACTGTGATTACAAAAGTTTGGATGAAATGAGGGAAAGCATTTGGTATTACTACCATCCACCGAACTTTGGGATAGTATTATTATAGAATTGTTGGATATAACATTTTAATAGCTAGAAGTTGATATTTTATAAAGATTTAAATATGTTTTTATTCTCTGTGATATTACTATCTAATGTTTTTAGATTTTCAATTAAAAAAAATTGGCAGCCGAAATGAACTGAGATGGTAAGTTTTCCTAACAACCTCATTGATTTTTCGGGACCACTGAAATGATTCATACTACTAATATAATGTTACTACTTTGTAATTGTGCATGGTGATGCATTAAAATCCATCTCTTTCTGAGCCTATTCCATGATGTGTTCAACTTTAAAATGGACAGTCTTTTAGCTTTTTAATTCCTTTATCATCGTAAAAAAAATGAAAAAAGAAAGAACACATTTAAGATGGGTAGGTTAATATATGTCCATCGACCGTCAAGGTCTTAAATAATAAATTTATTCTTTTATAACGAAGTGAAAATACATATTTTTTTTAAGTACAAATTTTCGTCAAATATTTAATTTTTCATTGAAAGTTACTTACTTATTTAGTTTTTTTATTTCTCATCAGATGCAAATAAAATCTTCTGAAACAACTCTTGAATTAATTGACTTATTTAATTCCTTATATATTTTTTGTTTATTTGCTTATTTTTATTTATCGGTTTAATTAAATATAAATTATATAGATATAATATACGGATATTAATTATATGAAGTGTCAAATAGTTTAAAGCAGATTGTCTCTATATATTAAAGTTAGAACAATGCACTTAAAACTTACGTATATGACATATATCATTCGTGATTCTCTTTTCTAACTTTGAATTTATTTTTAATATAAAATATGGAACTTTTCTTTATATTTTAAAATTTATTAAAATTAATTATGCAATTTTTTTATAAAATTATATGATTAAAATTTGATTTATAATTATTTATTTTCCTAAATTTCATAATATTCATACAAATACTTGCTCATAATATATCAATTGCCCTATCCACGTGTAAGAAATGCACAGTTTAGCCATGTCTGCTGAAAAATTCAAAATACTAAGTTGAACAAAGCTACAGTAGCGAAAAAGTTCAATGTTTATGACAGGAGAACCATTTTTTTGGAAAATACTTTAAGTGACCTTTTTTTATCATCATGTTGGACTTTATAGTCCAATCAAAACAAAGATTTTTGGGATATTTTTCAAGGGAGCCTGACGAGTTATTTTGTACAATTGTTTTATCAAACATCATATATCAGTCATTTCAACATTTTGTTTCAAATCATATGGTAAAATGGTTTAGGGTTTAGTTATTTTGTTTCCCTTTTCATTGAAAGAAAGATTTATCTAAACCAAAGTGGATAAAGTAGAATGGCTACCTTGTTTGTTTGTGCCTTTCCTTTTTTCTAACCAGACAAACATTCCTCATGAAAATAAAGTGCCAAAAGCTATTCTTTATTCGTTTTAATTAAATGCCAAACATCATGTGCCACAATCATTACACTTTGGCTTTTATGCGAACTTATGGTTAACCAAGTGCACAGTTGTGTACTTTTGTTCAATTAGAAGTTGATATGTTTGTTTTGTTACATTTTTCTGTTTTTCCACTAAGCCACTGCACCTTGGTTAATTGCCCTCAAGGTAAATGATAGCTAGAAAATGGTGAATAAACCTTGTGATTCAAACTATACATAAGGTAGGTGAATGCACTATTCTCACTTGTAAGAATCCAACTCTATAATGTTGGCAATGGCAAATGATATGGTTCTTCCTATAGCCGCCCATGTGGCTAGCATAAGTTTGATTAATACAATTATTTGGAAATATGAATACAAGACTCCCTAATCAGCCACTAACATTGAAAGTCTTCAAATAAAAAATTCCCTTTCTTAACTACCAAATAAATGTCCATTTTTAAGCCGCAATTATAAATATTTCCTTTTCCATCAAAGGGATCATACCTACGAAAAACCTACTTCACCTAATAAAAGTGCTCTTCCCTAGGATCCAAGTTTCACAAGTTGTTTTCTTTTGGGTGACTTTTGCAATCTATACAATTCACCATGGGAGTCTCAACCTACACACATGATTATTCATCCCCTGTCGCTCCATCGCGCATGTTCAAGGCCTTGATCACAGACTCAAGAACTTTGCTTCCAAAGCTCTTGCCACAGTTCATAAAAGAGGTCAAAGTAATCCAAGGAGATGGAGAAGCTGGAAGCATAGAACAAGTCAACTTTGCTGAAGGTTAGCAAAAACATTTTGACCAGCTAAAGTGAAATTAATGGATCATATCTCGATCTATATTGATTGAAAAAATTTCTTGTGAGTTTCATTTTTGTGCAGCTAGCCCCTTTAAATATTTAAAACACAGGATTGATGAGGTTGATAATGACAACTTGGTGTGCAAATACACTATGATTGAAGGAGATCCATTGGGTGACAAGCTTGAGTCTATAGCATATGAGGTTAAGTTTGAGGCCATTAGTGATGGGGGTTGCCTTTGTAAAATGACAAGCAAATACAATATCATTGGTGAGATTGAAGTCAAAGAGGAAGAGATAAAGGAAGGAAGGGAAAGCTCCTTAGGAATTTGCAGGGTTGTGGAAGCCTACCTGTTGGAGAATCCACTAGTCTATGCTTGATTATTCTAGTTGTTTTTGTCAAGTATACAGATATTGTTCAAAAGCAAGTTTATTCAATTTTTGAATAACAGTGTGCACTCGAATATAGGGACACAGATTGTTTACAAAATATTGAACTCCCTAATAAGTCCTTAGCCATCAAGGGCATAAAAGTGGTTTGGCAAATATTTGTACTTTGGTAGTAACAAAGATTGGAAATTCACTATTCTCTTTATGAATTCATAGCATCATACTTTGATGGTAATAATTCTGCCAAATCGTTGTGCAACTAATAAATGTTTAATGTTTATGAACATCTTTGACATACTCAAGGGCTGATGTTTATGATAAAATTCGAGCTAACTAGGCAAAGTCACTGTTGGTTTGGAGTGTGAAGGTTACCAAAGATAAATTTTTCTGCATTTGAGTTTTTAATTTTGGATTTTAGATAATTTGCAACAACAATCAGACAAAGGCATGGCAATTCAACGCATGCATAGCCAGCTTGTATATTCCTCATGATAATGAGCAAAGATCGTCACTTTTTTTTTTTTTTTTTGCATTCCACAAAGTGCATAACGTTTTGAACCAAAAGGGAGGGGGTGATGACTATTTGGCTCACCTCAAACTTTATGGTTCATGAGAATTCAATGCTGTCAATTGGGTAAAGGTTAAGAATTAAAGCTTGATTTTTAATGTGACTATAAGAGAGACATAAAGAGGTTAGGCGCCATAATTAACCGTCAACTAACATAGCATGGGAACATAATCAAAGATTATATACAAGTTAATTATCCCCCTACCAAACTCTAATGAAACCACCACTTGTTGGAAGGAAATTTAAAGAAAGGACCAGAAAGTTATTTGGATGGAGCATATAACTTTATTCTTTCTTCATGTAAACCAAGCAACCCAAAAAAGGAAAAGAAAAGAAAAGAAAAAGCCTGTATGGGAAAAGAGGAGGAATTTTTAGCTAAAAAGATTTCATCAGGGACTATATTAGATGAAAAAATCTAATTGCTTAACAGTTCTAATTCAAGAAATGAACCAAAGACAAAATAAGTCGGCCTTTGTGTGTTTCTTTTGTCATGGCAAATATTCTTGTCAGGTGTTTTTTTCTAACTAAAATAACTTTCGGGACAATTAATAATGTCTTAAATATGTTTTTAAATCAAATATGAATTCTGGCAATTGGGCATAGAACTTGCAGACCGCTAGAAAATGGTGTGAAAAATTCTTACTTAGTGACATTATAACTAAAGACCAAAAGTATTGAATCTAAAAAAATTTGAAATTAAAATCAAAAGATTGCGAGACTAAAATCAAAATCTCGTATAGAAACTAAAAAAAGACATATTTAAATCATTAATAATTAATTGATTATAAAATTCAGATATTGCTAAACTAATGCCAATCCATGTGTGGCATATTTAGGACAATTTTATGATGCAATGCCCTACAGATAGCTATTGCATGAAACATCTACAATTGACCAAAAATAAGATGAAATCAGGCACAAAATGTTGTAAAAGATACTAAGAGGTTGAAAAAAATATATCCTTTTTTGTTTTGACTACGAGGATGACATAATTTTTGTATCATAAACTTAAGGTGAATATGGAGTTGACATTTTTGCCAAAATAGGATCATTCTAGATGGTCTTGTAACGATTTTAAGTTCCACCTAAATTCTAACATTTTGAATGGCTTAACCAAAACCCATGAGCATCAAGCAACTAGGAAATCTAGAAATTAGAGACATCAAACACCATAAGAAATATGAACCTCGGCAAGGAAAACTATTTTTCAATCGCATAGATTTTAAGGATTACCAAATCTAAAAATAATTAGCAATATATTTAAACTGTTCTTTTTAAAGATACACTCATTTTCTTGTCCTTTGATGTGACGTTTTTGTAGAATATTTCAAATTTTCCTCTGTTGTGACGTGGGAGAAGATATATGCAAAGATGATGAAATTAGTGTTCAATATAGAATAGTTAATTTTATTTAATATTCTGAAGTTAATCTCTTTATCTGTATTTTTTACTTTTCTTTTATAAACATGTTTTTGGTCTAATAGACTTCATAATTCAACCCTGTTTTAACTTTCTAATTATTTAGGTACTTAATCATTTCTTTATCAATTATTAATATTTAATTAGTTTATTAATTTATTTTGATGTGATTAGAGAAGCATTTATCCTAAGGTTAAGACAAAAGGACGTAAGTACCCTTCGTCTTAGTATTAGATCAAAAGGGTGTGGATACCCTTCATTTTGAGTAGACCGAAAAAATATTTAATTTCTTTTTTCTATGATGATGATCTAATAGTGTCTTTTTTAGAACACAAACAATAAGAAAATTTGTAAATAAAAAATACTATTTTTATTTTTTTCACACATAACTAGCTCCCAAGATGTCCGAAGGATTGTGTATTTTACTACTTTGGGGTAGAATCTTCAAACTTTTACCTGTTACATTCATTAATTGTTCAAGTCCAAAAGAAAAAAGAATTATATTACTGCAATAACTAATCAAAGAGAACAAAAGTTGGCAGAACGAAGACTTTTCTTCCCTTGAGATTTCAGTTCTTTTAAGCAGTTTGAAAGTCAATATACCCCAAAAAAGGCGTTTATGGTACACCGTTGGTCCTTGTATAAGTAATCCTGATTAAGAGAATCAGTTAGTGGTCACCTACCTTTTTGAGATGAATGTGAGACCATGAAAGACAAACAACATATTAAACACAAACCATAATTTCCTTTTCGTTTTATTGTACATAAAAAATTGTCATTTCATAAACTCATCACGGTGATCTTTCTTTTGATAAAAGGATTCCTCAAGAGTGCATATCCTTCTTCATGGCCAAAAATGCTACTTTGGTCTTTTTGACTTTGGTAGCATGTATTGCCAATGTTCTAACCTCCCAAATCCTCCATGTTATACATGGCCAAGAGGCCATCCATTATAAAGCAAATTCCCTCTATGTCAGCTTTAAAAATACTCATAAAGAAAGCCTACCCTCTTACCTGAACACCCCTTCCCCTCCCAAGTCTAATATTCTAATGATTTTAATGTGTGTTAAGAGTTTACCTAAAATTTCTCAAAATAACTTATAACTTTTATAAATTATTTAAATTTTTAACTTATTTTAATAACAGTATATTTATTAAAATAAGCTCCTTTAACTTTTTTCAAGAAATTTTATGGATCAAATTAATGGCATAAGCATTCATATGAAAAAAAAAAAAGCTTATTGAATAAGTTGTGCTCTTAAACTCACGCCTAATCTAAGACAATGACTTTCATGGACCAATCAAGCAATACCCATTTCTCTTTTACCTCTACCTTTCCACTGCAGAAAGAGATTCCTTACATGTCCCACTTATTGTGGCTTCACATATTCCCTTCCCATGTACAAATATATGGTAGTCACATATTCTTCACAACCATAATCTACTACTTTCGCCAAACACACATCCCTTGGTTTCTCTAATTCATCTCCATGGTTCCAGAGTTCCAGGTAAGGCACCCAAAATCCATGCATGTTTTGTTGATCAACATGTCAATGCAATTATGGATTTCCTCAATTTAAAAATAAACAACAATTATGCAGAAACCTAGAGTCACAGAGATACATGTCCGAATGGACTGTAATGGATGTGTGCAGAAGATTAAGAAAGCACTCAGTGGCATAAATGGTAAGCGTGTCACATAATTTCCCTGCTAATTGATGCTGCTACATGCATGAACTCTTATTAGTTTATTACTCATATCACCTAACTCTTTGATAAACTTTCATCTCTTGCAGGTATATATGATCTCTATATAGACTTCCCACAACAAAAAATAACAATTATTGGGTGGACAGATCCAGAAAAAATTGTTAAAGCAATCAAGAAAACAAGGAAGATAGCCACCATATGCAACATTGAACCAACCGAGTCACCATCTCAACTACCAGAACTATCATCATCTCAACCAAAAGAACCAGAACCTGAAGGAAATGCACAACCCTCTGAAGCAACACAACCACAACCCACAGAAACTCCACCAGTTCAAGCAGGACCCCAAGAGGAACCTCCAAAAGACACATCACCTCATGAACAGCCACCACATGAGACAACACCATCACCAACACACACACCTGCTGAGGATAATCCAAACCAGCAATCACCAAGCACTCCAAGAACAAAGGATGTAGGAGAGGTTCATGTGATATACCACAACCCACCTAACCATGGAAACAGATTTGGTCCTGCCCACAACTTTGTTGGACACTGGGGGCAAAGATACCATAATATCCCAACATTTCTTCAAGAACCACCCCAACCAGTGTATGTGACACACAGCTATAATACATATAGGCCATCACCTTATGTCACTGAATATGAGTATGCAAGGTCACCACCAAGACACACACATTACTACCAAAATGGTAATGGAAACATCACATCCATGTTCAGTGATGAAAATCCAAATGCGTGTAGAATAGTATAAAAGAAAATCAAGAGATGAAAATCCAATCAAATTGAGGGACAATTCTGCTTTTAGATGTACTAATGAACTAGTTCATGGCAAATTAGTAAATAGTAGAATCTGAATGTAGAAAATGGAAAAATTTTGATGTGCACGTGAAAATGGAAAAAGCAAGAATTAGATTCTTATCTTGTGTGCTAGACTGATTGATTATGGATTCCTTTTTGTTATAAAAGGTAAAAATCATATTGCCTGGTATTTCATACAATACAAGTATGATGAAACGTAAGATTTCATATTTACTAAAGTATTTAAATCCAGTAATCCTATGGACTCCTCATAAAAAAAATTTAGCCTTAAAGGATTCAATATCCATCCTAGAAATGAGAACATGGTCAAGTAGAATGCCATTTCCTGAATTCCTTGTCCAACACGTTAGACATCAAAATACGTAACATGTACATAAATATACATGAACAAACATATATACAAAGTGACAGAATCTATATATGATATTATCTATATAAAAAAAAATCACAAATACAAGGCATTGATTAATACTAAATATTATACTATTTAATAAAAGCTTGCTATTTGTTAATTTTTTATTTTGTACTCTTCAACATGTATTTAAAAAAGTTTATTAAGTTAGCATGATAAATTTTTGTACTGTTTTTCTGAGCTAACTTAATTATGCGCTTAATCCGTCTATTTTATTATCATCTTCACATATGAGAAGCATTTTTAATAAATCAAGACCCCATCAAATCTTTTTGTGAGAAAGAAACTGTTTATATAGCAACAAAATTATGAATATTCACGTATGAGACCAATCATCATTTGACACGTGTCAAATTTAATGATATGTTAAGTGTTCGTAATCACTGTGGTTCCAGGTCATGTGAAAATTTAAATCTTTCTCAGCGCCAAAAGGAACGACAAAATTCATTGAAATATATTATGTCTACTTATGTTTTAAAAAATTAATAAGTAGTGTTAAGGCATTGGTTAATTAAACTATTTTTTTAATTAAAAATTTAGGAGTATGTTTAAAATTAAAGAGGAAAATGCATTATTATAAAGATGGTAAAAATGGTTGAGTTGTCAAAAAATGCTTATTTTCCTTGCCCAACATAAACAAGTATTATGAATTAAAAAATATTTTTTTTTAGTGAGTCTTGATCATTGTAAATTCAAAGTAACTTTTAAATAAGTAGTCTGAGATAAAAAAAAATTAGTAAAATTTTCTATTATATAAAAGGATTATATTTTAACTAAAAATATATTTGATAATTTTTATAATGTCTATTCTCTCACACGTGAAATAATTATTATTATAAATTTTATATTAATAAATAATAAACTTAATAATTTATTTAAAAAATATAAGTACTCTTTAATTTTTAAGATATTAAAAAATTATAATTATAAATCTAAAGAATATACAGTTTCTTTTTAAATTTACTGTTACCATACCAAGCATTAAAATATTTTTTTGGGAGACAAGGATCGAGGTTGAGAGATGGGAATTGGAGTAGATTTGGAAATGTCAAGAATGAATGATACTCCTCACTCCAAACATTTCCAAACACTGCCATGTGTTCTATCAATGAAGGAAAACTGGAAAAAGATTGGGTTTTTTTTTTTTTTGGTCAATTAAAACAAATGGATTGGGTATACCATGTAGTCGTGGATCACCCTAAATTGGATTCAACAACATTGGCCCAACACAATGTCTTTGGTAATGCGTTGTACACAAGATGTAGCAAATGATAAACCTTGACCAAAATGCAATGGCACAGAAGATATCAACATCATCAAGGCATATAACCTGGTTCTCGAAATCGGAAAGGCGTCCTCGTATCTGGTTATCGGAAAGGCGTCCTCGTATCTGGTTTTGATCAAGTAGATATTGATAATAAAATTATTTATTTCAATCCTTTTTTATATTTTTTTTAAAATTAAAATGATAAGTCACCTGATATGGGGGAAAATGAGGAAAAGAGGCTTTAAAAACAATTATGTTCATTCTAATATGATACATTATAGTATTAAGTGCAAGATGATGTGAGACAAAATTTATGCTGCTTTCCACAAGATATGATATATTTATGCTAGGTGGCAAGATGTTAAGCCACCCACTTCATTATTTGATGTCATGTCGCTTTTGTCGACTGTCACATTTGAAATTAATCTAATGTCACCATATTTTATAACAAATTAAACTGTTACAAGAACTTAACTACTCCAATTGAACTGATTTGTTGATCCACAAATTAAAGAACAAAAATGTAATATATCAACTGGAGAATTGAGAGGTTGTAAAACATATATATTCTTATAAAATATATAAATATTTTTATGGCCCATTGAAAAATAGAGATTAAAATTGTAGGTATGACATCACTCCTACGACATAGATAATCATAACTCAAAGTTGGACTTTCTTTAATTAAAGTATCACCAAATCCACTACATGCTTTACAGTGAAATCACAATGAAACTAATGCAAAACTATAAAATTTAGTCCTCCTGTGGCGGCACTACCAAAATTTCCTTACACATGAATGAAGAAATGATGAAGCTGTACAAATAATGTGCTGGTTGGAACATGCAAGAATGCAAATCTAAGTGATGAAAAAAATGAATAATCCGAACAACCTTCTTATTGGAAAGAATGTGGCCTAATTTGAGATTGCAAATGGCCTTTCACTTTTTCATCAACATCAAGCAGGGTACTCAAGAATAAGAATCATGTGTTGAGAAAGGATTATCACTGCACTTCACTTTTTCCACTGATACTCTTCAACAGGTAGAAACAAGATGAGGAAGAACTTGAGGGGTTTCCAAGGTCTGGACAAGGTTCTGGGAGCACCGAGTCTGAAAATCCAGATACATTTGAGCATTCCCAAGTAATAGGAGAAGCAGAATTTGTAGACAAGGTTATATTGGAAAGGCATATGTTAGTGAAGGGTGATTCTTCTATTCCATCAAAGCTTCCAGCAATGGTGATGTTTGTGCCACTAACATCCTTCAAGGTAATGTGATCCAAAAGTGGTAGTGCATTTGGATCAAACTTGTCATCAGGATGAGAACCACAATTACCTGTGGCAGCAATTGCCGTGTAGATATTCTCCATTTGTATGTCTGATATAACAATTTCTTTCATGTAACCACCTCTTCCTTTGGTGGTTCTGAACTCAATGCCACTCTTTGAATTGAAAAGATGAGCATGCTCCACTAGAACATCTGAAACTCCACCAGACATGTCACTCCCAAATGCAAGAGCAGAGCCAGAAAATGCATGAAGATGCACCCTTCTGATGTGTACATTCTCTGTGGGCCTGCCATAGGCAATCCCATACTCATCCCACCCACTTTTGAGAGATATTGCATCAAATCCAATGGAAACAATACAATCTTCTATACAAACTTTATCAGAAGAATCTGAAAACATGAAGAAGTGCACAAATGTTTGCTAAGTGTCCCTTCACCAAAGCTTGGTAAGCTAATGATATTTGAGAGGAAATGTCATTTTCACTACAAGAATATTAAAGTTCACAATGTTACAAACCTGGTACTATACCAACAGTATAAGGGGACTCAGGAGGAGTAGAGATTGAAATATTTTGTATATGTACATTGCTGCAAAAAATTACAAATAAAAAAATCAATGACTTTTTTCTTGGACAAAATAAGTGTCATTTCATTTAATGTTTAGAAGAAGCACAACATATACCTGCAATAAACTGGGTGTATGCTGTAAGCTGGGGCATTCAAGAATGTAAGATTTGAAACTACCACATAATCAGATGCTACAATTTCAACCAGATGAGGACGGCTATGGTTCAAGGAATGGGAGCTATACCACTCCCACCAAACCATTCCCATGCCATCAATGGTTCCATTGTTACCTGAGGAATCACATAAAGATATGAAAGTTCAATAAAGAAGCAGGTCAATTAAAGGCTTGCTGAAAGAAGCAAAAGCTTGTGAGATTTGGAAAAAACCTGTTATGACCACATCATGTAACATATATCCATTTATCAAGCTCTGATACCTTCCCCCTGGAACTTCAAGCCCTCGGCCATAAGAAGGTAAGGGTTCAACAACTTCCCAGTGAGATGGATCCTAAACAAGGAGAATGGATTGTAAAAACCAAAACATAAGCATTCTCCATATTGGAACATGGATTATCTCTATACACAAGTGATCAGCAAAAAAAGACAAGAGGCTGGTGAAAAAGAAGCAAGAGGTAACATACCTGAGATCCAATAATGACAGCACCTTTTTCCAAAAAGAGGGTGAGATGGCTAGTAAGATTGAAACTTCCAGTGAGCCATCTTCCAGAAGGGACATATAACTGAGCACCACCCTTGTCAGCAAATGACTTGAGATAGAAGATGGCATTTTGGAATGCAATAGTATTCAGTGTTTTACCATCTCCAACTGCGCCAAACTCCAAAATGGAGACACTGTGTGGCCTTGGGTCTAGTGTTGGATTGGAACCACATTGCCCACCATCTCCATTAACTCTCACGGCATTGCTCAATGCCAACAGCAAGAGCAATGCCACCTGAAAGAGGGTAGAAAAAGCAAAATGCAACCCATTGATTCTCAGAAGATATCCTACAAATACAATAATTAATCACAGGATTATATCCCAGATTAAGACTCGAGCTACTGAGAGAGAAAGCCAAGCATAATTCAATAAATGGAGATAAAGAATTTCATCATTGAGCAAATAATTCACTTCAGTTAGAGATTAAAAGCATTTCTGAAATAACAATGCTCAATCACTGCAGCGAAATAGAGAAGTAAAGGAATTTGTAGCAAAAACAATGAAACAAAAGCAACAAACAATCATTGCACAATGCTCATTTTCATTCGTAACACAGAATGTAACACCACACGCCAATCTATGTATTGGTAACAGTTGAAAATGACTTAGAACAGATTCCACGTCAGGTCAAGATACTGACAGTGATACATAGCAGAAGAATTCCAATCTGAAAGGTGAATGCAAGTTTTTCAGATCAAATTGAATGGAATTTGATCCAATCCCCCACCATCAAAAGCAAATAAAAGGAACAAAACCTGACTCAAATGGAAGATGACCCATGTCAATGGAACACACACACTTTGACTTGAACATGTAAAACCAAACCAAAGATTGAAACTTGAGAGTGCCCTCTTAGCAATCAATGGAGACCCAGATTTGAAAAGTGGCCAAAGGTCAAAAGGCAAAGAGAGCCAAAACAAATAAACCCAGAACAAAATGAACCTACTTACAAGCATCTTCTTGAGTCAAAGCTGGCAACAGAGTCAGAGTCCAAGGGAGACAAGAACCGGCGCTAGTGCCAAAGCAGAAACAAGTAACCAAAATCGAAAAAAGAAAAAAAATAAAAGAAATTGCAGTAAAAGCAGAGAGAGAGAGAGAGAGGGAGGGAGGGAGAGGAGAGAGAAGGAAAAGGAGGAAGAAGAACCAGCCACGGAAACAGAAGCAGCTTTATGCAGTTTTGTGAGTATTATTATAAGCATTAATCTACGCAGAGAAAAGGTGAAGATTAATGGTCATTTCATACATGGACATGTGTATACATATATTTGGTAACAATTTCTTTCTTATTAAGCATTGAGAATGTATCCTATAATGACAGCTTTCTCATGCATCAAATAATATATTAATTAATCATTTCATTCCAATTTAGAATCTAATTAAATATATTTAATTATAAATTATTAATTTTATAATAAATAATTTAAAAAATAGATGTATCCTTAAATGTAATTGATTAAACAAAATAAAAGTTATAAATAGAATTATATTGAAGAGAAAATCTGCACAGAAAAATAAGGAGGATGAAATGGGTAAGACAATAACAATAACGGGACAAAAAATATAAAAGCAGAAAAAATAGTAAATTAATTGGCACTAATTGGTGATTGCACCTGTTAGTGAAAATGATTAATAACGTCTATCGCCGACAAAATGGTTTGAAACGGACTCGGGGATAATGGCTGCAGTGCAGAGAATAGTGTGCGGTGTTTTTACATGTCACAGATTTACTCGGCAAACTGAATAGTTATTACAGAACAAGAAACAAACAGCGTTATTGTTATTGTTGTGTGTTTACATTTGTAAGAACATGGGACTTGTGATAGAGTTCGAGAGGTTGTCGTGTTGGCGTGACACGTGTAAGCTAGAGGGATGATGTGGAATGGCATGAGGGGCTCCCTGAGTGACACGTGGAGGTAGTAGCTGGAAGGTGGGTGAGGGAATACATTCTAAGTTTGATTAGAAGGCGCATGTGGATTGACAGAGCAGAAATGGAGGACGGTGGGACCCACTTCAATCATCGCAAATATGCCAGCCTGGCTTCTTCCCTTGACAGAGCATACTCTTTCACATTTTTAGTCAAATATTATTTCTTTCATTATATTATTTAATATGCATCCCATTCACACCACTGTTTTTGCTTGTCATTTCAATTTCTTTTATGTGCCTTATCACCATTTCGTCAATAAACAGTTTGAAAAATATAAAAGAAAAAGAAATCAAAATTCAAACAAATGAAAAATTATATAAGTTGTGGACATTGTACTAATCAATATGATAAAAGCTAGTAGCATAAAAATAATTTGTGACAATACAGCTGTTATATAAGAAATATCAGCTGCTAAAACAGCATTGACAAAATAAAGTAATGGAACTATTAAGATACGATGAACGTAGTGGAAATGAAGTTGACAGAGTAAACTAATTTATTTTTATATTCTGAGATGAAAGCATAGCAAAATATTAAAAGCACAGAAAATGCTTTTCTCATTATAATTTTCCTATTGGTAGAAACAGATGCAAATTGTTAATGAAGATCTATAACGTCACAATTTGCATATCATAAATTGAGAAGCCATGTTCTTGGTTGCTCCTTACTCGAGTCCCGTCAATTCAACTTAATTCGAAATATCTCAATCATAACAAACTCCTTTCTCTTATAAGAAATATAATCAAAACCAAAGAACCAGAAGTACTCCTTTTTCTTATGAAAGAATTAAACACCTTTATTTTCTTTTCTTCTTCTTTTTTACATCTAATTCTTATTTTTAATTATTCAAATAATCTTTTCGAAAGTAACCACATTTCATGAGCATCACGTTACTTAAGGTTTAGGGTTATTGGATTCAATTCGCGTGCATAGCGCCAATATATAAATTTAATTAATCTTTTTTTGTAAAAAAACTGCTTTTTAATCATTATTTAGTTACAGGTTATTATATTAGTACATGATTGATCTTTATAAAAATTAATTTTTATTATTTTTAAAGAAATATATAATTAAATAGTTTAATTATTTATTTGATAAAATAGTTTTATATTATAGTAATTTTTTATTATTTTATTTTTAATATTTTAATTATAATATTATATATATATATATATATATATATGCGCTATATATATGCGTGCGTGTGATAATTGAATCATATTATATTATAATTAAAGAAAGAAAAGTACGTAATCAAAATATTTGTTATAATTAAAATCAAAATTAATTTTCAATTTTGCTAATTAAAGAAGAGGGATAGAAACTTGCTTTTATGTATATTTCTTACACTTCTTCAAGTATAAAATGTAGACTAACATATACACTACTCTAAATAAATGTATATTATGATTTTTTTTATTTTTATAATTAAATTAATCATTTTTACCTTCTTATTTTTTAACTATTAAAAAAACAGTTTATACATCAGAAATAAATTTTCTAACCATTTGGATATTTACACACTAACTTTTATATATTTCTTTTACACATTTGTTTTATTAGAAAAATAAAGATACAAAATAATGATTTTTCATCATAGAAAAGTGATAAAAGAAGTATATAACAAAAATAAGGTACCTAGTTCAAGTACTATTATTTTGCATTGATCTCAGGATTATCATTATGAAAGAAACATATACTAAAAGAAAAATTAGAGAATTCAGTTTCTAACCAAACAATATATATATAAAAAGAAGAAGATTGGGGGACTAAAATGTGGAGAAGTGTGGGCAAACCCCTAGCTCTACTTTGTTCCTTTCTTTTGGGTAGTCTTCAGAATCCACATCTCAACATTCAGTTCTGTCTGTCCCACTACTTTATAACGGGCATCTTTAGTATGGGAACACCGAGATTTTTAAGGGTGTTTATTAATGTACTTATTCTTCACATCTTCAATGAGAATGACCAAAGAATAAAACAAACAAATAAAAAGGGGGAAATTAGGAAGCTAGCTACTGCAGATAATTAATTCACGTATCAAAATTCAAGACTTGTCACATTCAAAATCTCCACTCCCTACAACTATTCCTGACGACTTTTTAGACCGCACCAAAGCCAGCAATTAATTCAGAATATACATACATGGATTGGTCATATTGCTTTTCAATGGTTGCCCATGTGGGGCAGTGTTTGAACAACACACCACCTTACCCATCCACTGTATGTATATATATCAATTAAGAGAAATGCTAAAGTTTTATTCACCACCGTACTTTTAATTATTAATTAAATTAAAAAAATTAATTTTATTCATAATTTAATCATTTTTGCTCATCACTTAATAATTATCTCTTTTGTGCTTTTGTAATTTATAACGAATTGCATTTTTCCCTAAGCTGTAGTTTGAGTGTTAATGCTACACGCTATTTCGTCTAATCAATCAAAGGAAACCCTCCCACTAGTGTAAATCAACTCTATTTTTTAATTTTAGTTTATTTTGGCGGAGAACTATATACGATAAAAAAAAAAAAGGGATTAAAGCTAGCTAAGTTCTTTGTATGATTATTGTCCTTCCTGTGTGATGGTGCTTTCTTGATAATGATAAAATGGGTACAATTTAGTTCTAACGATACTTAATTCCTAAGGGATATAGAATCATGCAAGATTTTGCCAAACATTAATGATTAATCTGTAATGACGATCAGCTAAAATAAATTATTGACACTAGCATTCTTTAATTTACAATTCAATGTTGTTACTTGTTACCTGGCTTCGTACAACTTGATTTGCATCACTATTCAACCAGCTGTATCCTTCATGGCAATGGTAACGTTTGCTGGGTAAGAAAAAGAAAACAATTTGGGACAACCTTAACTCCTCTGCTCAATTTCTTTATAAAGAAGAAATTCAAAGTTCTTGCAACAGCAGAAAAGTCACAATCTCATTTGTCATAATTGCACAGCTAACCAGCGTTTGCTTGTTGTATTTATTTTCTCGGTCAAAGGTAGAGATCACATATCAATAAGACATTACCCTTTTCATCCAAAAACGTTCATAATAAGTGTAATTGGATTAGAAGTGCACGAGGCCACGGAGCATAAAAAATTACCAACAGAAGTAGGTGGTGGCACAACTATTTTAGTGAAAGAGCAAACTCAAAGCAAATCTGAACCGTATCAAATTTCTTCTGAATTGTGAAAACAGACATACCAAATGGGGCACGTTATTTCTACTACGTGCCAAGACAGGTAGGGAATACAAAAAGCTGAAGCTGAGCAACTCTAATTATGGTAGAATAGTGACAACATGGGACCAACATGAAAAGTTCCACATAAGCACAAGACATGCGAATCCTATAGGCCTTAAATAAATTTTGACAATTGCATAGGTCATTTTCTGTTGCAAATTATGTGTATGTGCGGAGTCATCTCATGGAAAAAACCAAAAGACAAACACTGCAAACTGAGCTTTCTCTCCAAATTAACCACATGCCATGACAAGAGTTAAACCTTATTCTGCCAATGCAATAATGAAGAGGAGCTTGCAAGAAGCCAAAGCTGGGGTCTCCTAGTGAAGTACAAGTACACTGACCTCCAACTCTTAACGTATCATTTTTTTTTTTTTTTATCTTATTGCAACAGATACCCACCAAGGAATTATGCCAAAATATATGAACTCTCGAGGAATAACCAGGTAAGCACGGACAGTAAAAACAAAACTATGTCTCTGTTTTTACCTGTATGCGATAATTCCCTTCCAATTTTTTCTTTTAAAAACAAATAGATATAATTAAACTTCTAGTTTCTAATTTTTTATTTCAAATCTTTTGTGATTTTTTTTTTGTTACAATGTCTCTTTGTTGTTTTTGTTTTTCAATTGATTTTCTAAATATTACAAAAGCTTTTATTTAATCCTCTAAATATCACAAAGTTTATATTTTGTTCTCATAAATATCATGAATTTTTTATTTGATATCTCTAAAATGAGAGACTAAATAGAGAATCTTAAAAAAAATCTATTTTTTAATAAAAAATATTTTACGTGGACTCATTTGAAAAACAAATAAGAGACTAAATGAAAAAAAATTAGGAATACAAAATTTAATGAAACTAAACATTCACTACAATATTACTCGTAAAGTACGACTTCTTTTTTATTTTTTTTACATAAATAATTTTTAGATGTTTCAAATCGCCAGAAAAATATTTGATAGTTAAAAATTATATATAAAAAAAGGTTAAAAATTGTCACAATTTATTTGGGTAGCAAAA